GAATTGCAAGGCAAACAGACGTTGATAAAAGATGTTAAAATGATGAATCTAAGAAATTAAATAAGCAGAGATAGGGTTGAGATATTATTCAAAATGTTTGAAGGATCTTTAAACCTAGGGTATTGGTACAGGGAACATTGGAATGCATCTACTGTAATTTTATATTTCAATTACTTACCGAACTCGAACTGTGATTCTGTGTCAATAATTATAACAGGCAAACTACCCAGACTAATTTATTATTTATTACAAGAACGATAAAAAATGTGTAAAACTAACATTATACTTTATCCTACGTATTATATACTAGAAAATATTCGGTGCGAAAAAACGCTATTCAAAACGTAACAGCATCAATCCAATATCTCATTGTAATGTTTATTATAATAATTTGAAGTTTGTCTAGATATATTATCTGTCATTATTTTTGAGTTGAAATATGTTCATAAATTGTTATAAAATACAAATCAATATATGAGTATTTAATTGACATGAAGGAAAATTACAAAATTAATATGAGAATTTTTTTGGATGCATCACACAGCATTGCTTTTAGCTGGTTTTATATAATATTTTCGTTGAACTGGCAACGGTGCCCTAGAAATCAGAATGACACATGACACAAGATCAACTTACACAACTTAAAAAAAAACGTTTTTTGATTATAAAGAGTTGTACTAGTTTTTTATGCATCGAGCAAAAAAGCTCGATGTTTTTATGACAGGAAGGGTACCTACGTATTCACGTGAGGAAAGCACGAAAAAAACAAGATTATCTTTATAGGATATTATTTAAAGAAAAAAATTCAAAATATTCAAAAATTCAAATACATAATAAACTTCAATAATTCTTTTTAAATATCACATTGTCTTCCTACTTGTTACATTTTATTATCAGCTATTTATATAGAATATTAAAGTTGAAGTATTTATGACAATGATTACGTAGTATGTATGCTTTTTGCGTGACACCGATTGTAATTACTAAAAAAGTAGATTCCGGTTGGGATAAGCGGTAATATCACCTTTTATTTTGATGAATATGTGTTATATTTCTAATAACTGTCGATAAGTGGATAAAATAAAATTTGTAAGCGATGATTATATTCGGGAAAAGTTATCATATATAAAATCTAACAAAGTAAACGTTGTTCTACGGGAAAGGCTTAAAAAGTTCTATGTTTCATAGTTTAAATTCAGTGTTGCTTTGAAATTTTTAATTTGTAAAGAACAATTTCAAAGGAAATAATAATATATTAACAATAATAATGTTGTTTTTACTTATAGACTTATAGACATATAATGTTAAATAGAAAAAAGTAACAAAAGATCAAAGGAAATATGTAGAACAAAGGACATTTTTAGGGGTAGGGGGAATAGTGGCCGCCTAAGCATTTTGTTTACTTATACTGCTATATAGCTTTAAAAATTATACTGTTAACGTAAATAAAACTTCAAACCTTAGTAGTTCACGCTCTATTTACGAAAAATTTTTACAGAAACAGAAACAGAACAAAAAATAATTAAAACGGTTTTTCAGACTTCTGTTAGTGGCCATATTTACCCACTGTCGAGGGGTAAAAGTGGCCAATGCCACTATTAGCCCCATTTAAAAAATAATTAAAGCAAGAAATCACAAATGTAAATTTTGCCTTCGAAACTGCTACAGTCTTTGTGTGCCCATTGTCCGCAAATGCTGCATTGGATCCAGAGTTTTCTGTTTTTACCGAATTCTCCACAAATTGTGCAAATATCTTCATTAACGTCCCTATCCCGGTCATCGTCATCATTTTGTGTTCTTATACAATTTCTTTTTGGAACTATTCGCGGAGGACTGGACTCTTCGATTCCTATTTTTCGTGTGGTTCCTTTGCTTGGCTTTATTTCTCATTTGTTCTTTCTTCTTCCGCTGTTTTTCTTGTAGAAGTAACTTCATTGGTGTTGATGTCATTATTTCGGAATGTTGCTTCCTGTTGCTTTTATGGTTTGATTTTTTATTTCCAACTGAGTCATCTTTTGAGCATCCTGGTAGTGGAATTATGTGAACAAAAGGTACTTCAAACTTTTTGTCATGTGTCGAACTTCCTTTATTCTCCTTAACTTCCTTATTGTTCGTCTCCTTATCTAATTCACTTTTTTTCTCTTGGTCTAGTGTCTTTTTATCTTTTTCTTGTATGAATGATTCACCTGGAGCAAAGTCTTCATCGGTAAAATTTTCAGGATTATATGGAAATATTCCTGTATTCTCAAAACCTTTAATGGCTTTGACTGGTGTGGCTACGCGACCGTATGAATTTTTAAATATTTCAGCTATTTCAAATGTCGTGATACAATCATGAAGATGACTTCGAAGATAATTGCCACAGTCAATGTTATGTGCTGATTTTAACAATGAGTAAAAAGCTACATCCAGCGGTTGGAGTCGATGCGATGTGTGCGGGGGTATGGTTAACATAATAATTACGCGTTCTTAATGTCGACGATTAACAAAACTGGATCCTCATTTGAAGGTTTTACAACACTGTAAAAATGCTGGAGCCATTCGAGAAATATTTGCTAATTTATCCATCCATTATCCGAGTAGCAGTAGCCTGCACCATTTTTCTTTAACTCTGGTTTCATCCTTTTGCGGGCATAAATAAACAAATGTGGAATATATGTTCCTAAGGCACTTATGCAGCACATAGTGGTTGTTGTTTGACCTCTTTTTGCGCTTGTAATAAAGCCGACTCTTTTTTGTCCCTTTTCAGCAAGTATTTTTCCGGGGTTTTGGACGGTTGTTATGCCTGTCTCATCTGCATTATACATTTTGGATGCAGAACATTTATATGTACCCAATATGGATTTTAAATTAAAAAAAAAATAGGTTTACTTCAGTTTAGTTAAAAGCAGATATGCGGTTAATACTTGTCGCCTCCGGTTTTCTTAATCGAATAGTTAGATTTCTTCCAGCAATTTCTTTTTCTTTGGAAAATTAATGATGTAACTTTTTTTCTTCAGCGTATTTATAAGCACATTTTCTATTTCTGTGGGAGTTATCCCAAAAAAATCTTTTGATAACTTTATGACCTGCTTTGTCAAAACTTCTCCTTCTTTGGTAAATACAGAATTACGATCTTAAAAGCAGCTGTTGTATCATTTCGTTTTAGTGGTAGTTGACTTGTAGATCTGAGAATTGCAAAATTTCTTGCAACTTCACGGACGCTTCTGCCATCATTTACTGCATTTATTGTTGCACTAAGTTGCTCATCATTCCATCGTACTTTGTCACTTTTCTCTTGTAAACACGAGGCATCTGAAACATAAGAATTTATAAAGAAATACTCTGTATTATATAAATATAATTTGGGGGTAATAGTGGCCGGCCAACATTGTGGGTGGCTATTATAACCCCAAAATACATATTTATACTGATCGATCATTAATCACTTAAATTAGAGCAAGAACTTTTTATATAGTCTTAAACTACGTTAAAAATTTAACAAATATGTAGGTACCAATTATGTAGCTAAAAAAATAACTACATACTTCTACAAACCTTTAAAAATGTTGCACTAATAAATCAACTTCAACAAAATTTGACATTTTCAAAAATTCCTTCTTTGTCCGCAAAACATCGTCGTTCTGAGGAGCTTTACTGAGTTTTCCCTCAGTCCTTATTCTTCTCAGCACCTCGTTGTTGGCCACGTGCTCTGTCCACGAAATCTTCAGCATCGTTCGAAAAACACACATTTTAAAGGCTCTTACTTGTACTCATACTTGTAATACATATACTCTAAATACGCCTCATACTTGTAATTCCGAGAGTCCATGTTTCCACTCCGTATAGCAATAAGGAATAAATAAATGTTTTTACAAATTGGATATTCAACGTTAAGATAGAGTTTATTAGGAATGTTAAATACATTCATTATTGTTTACACTTACATTGAGTTATTGCATTAAAATTACTTAACTTTAGTTAATACTATTTTATCCTTGGTTTGTTATTGATTTTGTAGGCATAGGATGGGTGGGTTTAAATTAATTGTCTTTAAAATACCTAGTTTAAATTGACAGTCCTTAATTTTTCAGTATTTAAATTTTAATAACTTTCCTTTGGTTTAATAGTCTTGTACACTTGATTTTACTATCATAGAGTATGTGGGTTTAAATTAATTTTTTTATTTGTTTAAGACCCCTTAATGTTGTACCCTTCTTTGCACCCGTAGGGTATTTGAGTTTTAATAACTTCTCGTTGGTTTAATATATCGGTTCAAGACCCTTGCCCCCCCCCCCCGACAGGAGATCAGTCACTGGGGATCGGTCACTGTTTCTGGGGATCAGCCACTGAAAGGTGCAAAAATCTAAAGACGAAGAATTTCCTGGCTAAGAGACCTAAGAGAGTGGTATAGTTGCAGCTCAGTAGATCTTTTTAGAGCAGCCGCCAATAAGGTACGGTTAGTTGTGATGGTAGCCAACCTCCGATAGGAGAAGGAACTACAAGAAGAAGATGTCTTCGAGGCGCTGGATGAGGTTGGATGCAGGAACCTTGATGCCTTTTTTAGCTCTCTTGACATTCCGAAGATATCTGACTACCTTCCACATAATGACAATTATCATAACAATGAATATAGTCACTAGTCCTGTGCTTAAATGAGGAATCCACTGATGGTTGGCAATGATTTTCCACTTGTGTTCGGATATGTCTTGGTCCAACTGCTCTGCCTTAAGTACTATACACATAGATCACAACAAATAAAAAAATATATAATAAAATTTGTGTTTGTGATGGAAGGCAACCATATGTACGTATTTCTGACTATCGGTCGTCTTCAGTACGGTGCAGCCAAGTTAGAAAAGGAGCATGTTAACTTGGGAAAGGATCACTACAAGAGCAATGCGACCAATTTGTGGCAATAATACATACATATATATATATATATATATATATATATATATATATATATATATATATATATATATTAAATTTTAAATAATTATTATCTCTTGTATTTCCAGAAATATCCAAGGTGCATGCAGAACAAATGCGATTGCAGAAAACCTCCTAAAAGAGATCAAGTGACTTTAAATTGTAAGTATGAACATACAAACCATAATAACTAGTATAAGAAATCATGTAAATATGCTTATACTTAACTATTTTAACCCTCTCATGCATAATTTTAGGGAAAATTTTTTTTTTCTTAGAAAAATTATTTTATTGCAAAATATTGAAAATTAACATTAGAAAATAGTATATTAAGTGAAAAAACATAAATTTTGTTCTTAAACCCTAAAAAATAGTCCGTCCACTCTAGTGGTCACTATGCACTTGCAGAATCGCGGAAGCCTCAGTTACTGGTGTGAAAATATTCAAAACACGATGGACACAGCGGCTCATTGCACCTTTTGCAGATGTATTTTGTTTTTCTTTTGCAAGCTTTAGAGTGACATCTTCGAGCATTTGGTATATCAATTAGTTGTGGCCAGTGCCCCCAATTACTTTGTCTAATTTCAGGGGGTGCATGATGATTCGGTTTCTTCTTCTTCAAAATGGGAGGTGGTGTACCAGACGAAGGTCTAGCTCGTTTATTTTCTTTCTGTGTTCCCAAATTTATTAATGCTCTGGCAATACTTGCTTTAAATTCAAGCAGATCTTTTTTGGATTTCCGTTTTTCTTGTACAAAATCCATGCATTTACAACAAGAACATCCACAAAATGCATAAAAACTCTTATGTACCAGCGTTTGTTTCTTCTCCTTAGAGGATACAGGGCCAACAACTGGTCCATCAGGTCTACTCCTCTCATATTTTTGTTATAAAACTGAACAGAAAATGGTCTGTTCACTTCTATAGTAGTCTTAGTAGATTTACACCAGCGTTTTGTTTTATTCTTAGGTTCTATTCCAGCACAATTTGAAACAATGTACATAGTCTTGTTGTCTAGCCATTTAGATACAATTATATTGCCACCTTCAGTACTTGCAACAGATGAAGTTTCCCTACCCTCTTATTTCATTTGTTTATCTGTTTTCATAACAGAATTACAATTTTGTAGTCGATTCAATCGGAGAGTTCCTGTCGCCCATATACCTCTTTTATGCAGTTCTTCGATAGGGGAAGTGAGCAAAATAAATTATCAAAAAATACTTTATGATTTATTCTCTTCAAGTCGTCAGTTAGACGCAAAACTACATCAGCGCACGCTCCAAGTTTACTAATTTGACTTCTGTCTCCTGAGGCTCCTTGGTAAACCTCAAAACGATACATATATCCACTAATTCCAGCTCTTACCCAAACTTTGACTCCCCACTTTTTAGGTTTTTTTGGTAAGTATTGCTTTATACCTAATTTTCCTTTTAGTGGAATAATTTGCTCATCAACTGATTGGTATTCCTCTGGATCTGTGGCACCTAAGAAGTTTTTCTGAATTTTATCCAAAAATGGTCGGATTTTTCGCAATTTGTCCATGTTATTTTGATTTACATTATCATTATTTACCCATTGTTAGGCCATTTTCACTTGACCAGTAAAGCCGTATTCTGGGATACCTGATGTACGCCATCACTAAATTTATGCCCAAGAAAGTATATAACTCATATTTTGTAAAACCAAAATTTAATTTATTGTTTTGGCCAGCATATAAATTGGTCTGAAAGACGATATCATCCATTATGTCTGCGGTGAACAGTGATAAAAAATAATCAATTGGATTGTTTCCTTGAATATGAATATTTTCTGTTCCTCTAAACTGTGGCAAAGTTGCTGGCCCATACATGCTGTCATTATTGCACCATTTCCAGTCTTTTTTCTCAGCCTTTTTTGATTTTTTCTCTTGACTTTTATGTTTTGATGAAAATGCCAAAATACGCTGAGCTAATGGAATGTCGTCTTCACTCATATCATCGTCACTGTTTTCTGGCTGTATTTCTTCTAAGTCACTTTCATCAATTTGGTCTTCAGCCGTTACATGTTCGAGCAAATACGTCTCTTCGTCATTGTAATCAGATTCCAAATCTGAACCTTCTGGTAAATCATAAATAATGGCATCATTATCAATACCTATAAATTCTTCATTTTCTGGTAAACATAAAGGTATTTCGTCCCTATTGTCGTCTTCATCGGCAAAAAGTACTTTCTGAAATAGAATAAAATTTCCCATTGAAGAAGTAATATTATGTCAATAAATAAAATTTATTTATTTGTACCAAAATAATATAGGTAAGTACATAAAAAAATGCCCTCGAAAATCCCTAAATCAATAATAAATCTTTGACAAGAAAAGCAAAAAATATGTGAACAAGAAAGCTACTACCCCTCTAAAAATTATACTCATAAAATATACCACAAGAGTGAAATTCTAAGTTACATATTGCATGACGTCCAGTCTAGTGGACATGACTTCAAGGCGATATTTTCGGTGAGTTTTCAATTATTTTGAAATTATAACAAGGGCAAATTGTGTAAAATACATAATTCTATAAGAAAAATATTTTCTTACCTTTTTGTTTGCTTTTCCATAAAAACTACGGGCACTTATTTCAGGCAATTCACAGGTGGTCATCGCGGTCAGGTTATTCATAGATACTAACATAAACAAACTTTGAATTTCAAAATAAATATTGTAGATGGCGGTAGTAGTTACTTGATTAGTGTCCACTGAAAGGGATTTCATGCATTTTGCATAAGTTTCAGAGAATTAAAATATATTTTTTGGAGTTAAAAGAATCTGTCCACTGCAGTGGACTCAATGCGTGAGAGGGTTAAATTATTATATTTTGAAATCTTGATTTTTTAAATCTTCCTTTTACCTATTTATTATATTTTTCTTTAAGTCATTTTTATTCACTATTATTTCTTCTTGACTATTATTGAGACCCGTTGATCTTCAAGATATTTATAACATACATAAAAATACGAAAACAATTAGATTGAAAAAAATTGAATTTCGAAGTTCGAAATCGGGATACGTTTGTAATGTGAAAGTTTAAATTTAGCGTTTTTTATACATAATTCAATTGACTCACATTTATTGCCAAAAATCAAAACCGAAATTTTATGAAATACATTTTAAATAGTATATTACATTAATTTATTTCTATGGGATGGGTTGTTTTCATACCCGGTGGCCTATTACTCTTACTTTTATTGACATGGGTTATCTCAAACAGCTAATGCCAAAGTGGCCCAACTGTTACAAAAATTACAAATACTTACAAAATTAGCATCAGGCTATAGCCCATTACAATTTTAGTAATTTTTAAAGTATTACATATGCTGCGAACTAAGAAATGTGTTTAATATTTACTTAATTTTCTACATTAACTCGAAAATTTCACTAAACTATTTTGGCTCATATCTCTAGTTCTGATTTCTATCACATGGACCACTCTGGTTCTGGTGGTCTGAATTGTCATTTGATTGCAATTAGGGTAGTAATACCAATGGTGTCAATATGGTTTCTTTCAAAAAATAAATCGATTTTATTTTAATCATATTTCTCTTATCTAATCTCTATCTATTTTCATCATAATATCTAATTTTAAAACATTTTTAATGTTTATAAAAAAGATTGAATACATTTTCCCCGTAAAATTAACCATTTTTCTGATATTCGATTCTGAATTTTTTAAATTTTTTGTTCGAATAACAATTTCATTCTTTAATAGGACATAACAAAACAAAATTAAATAAACGAATTTCTTCGTTTAAATGAAACTTTATCTTTATTTCTTACAGTTTTTTTTTTGATAAAATTAAAAATATTTGAGTTAGTCGTGAGTAAGCGATTAAAACCGTGTTTTTTTAAAGAAATTCAATCCCAAATAAATAAAAAAATGTGCATTAAAAAAATCGATAGGACTTTTTTATGTCCTGTGTCAAAATGTGTCCCTCTATCCATTTGTGGAGATATTTTTGATATAAAAATTTTCACCCCCGGGTCGGAGTGTTATTCACCCCCAGGAAAAAAGTATAATGGGCATAGGGTAGATTTTGCTTGTTGAGGTATTCCCTAAATACTGTTTAAGTTTCAACGAGATCAGAGGTGAAAATCTTGATAAACTGGACTAATAATAATTATATATAATACTTATACAGAAGTTAAAAGTGTCCAAAATTTATAGATACATAACGTTTTTGATCTAGCTCAGATCATCGTCAGTGCCTTCTTTTAGGTCGATGACAATGGTTGAAGATGTTAATACTTAAAGAACAACATATTTCTTTGCTCGACTTCAAGCTTTTTTGTGATTGAAGCGATTTTGAAGTTTTTTACTTCTGTATAAGTTTTTTAACTATGGTATACAGCGAACTACTGGAATTTTTCCATTAGTTTTAGTTTTTTAAATTTTAAATAATGTTTTACCAACAGTTTCATGCTTTTAGCGGAATTAGGCGATAATAATATTACCGATGTTGAAATACCTTCAACTATCATCAACACAACAACCCTATTACAATCATTCGTAAATCCTCCAAGGTTACACTGTAAGGAAACGGACTTTTTGATTTTACTATGGACTCTTCCGGATGAAGTAGACTATTATTTCGTACGATTTTCAACCGTCGGTATGAATGTAGTAATTAGAGAAACTCCTTTGGTGAGTAAAATGCTGCTATTTTTACATTAAACTTTAAGCATATTTGTAAATCATAACAATATAATATATACTGTAGTATTTTTATTAATATAATTTATTATCAAAGGTTCTATTTATAACACTTACAAATTTATTAAACTCTTTATTACTAATTTACTTCACAATATTTATTTATATTTATTTCCGTGGACAATTATATTTTCAGACTCAAACTAACTCGATATTCTAAACTAACTAACTGTTTTTAACAAAATTCCCTCTTTAAATATAAAATACCGTTAATCGATAATGCCCTCGAATTCGGACGGCGCCCCTCTGGAAAAGACCGGTTTTTTTCAGCTGAGCGGAATCAATAAACCTTTGAACGGCCAATTTTTCCATCATGTCTTCGGGAGCTGTTGGATAAGCATATCGTACTAATCTGGCAATATCTACCTCATATTCTTGAAGAGCCTCATCTTTCTTTTGTCTTTGATTTTTAAGCTGCGACTGATATAATGCTCTAAATGTTTGTGGCCATATCGCATATTTAACCTCTTCTTGAGTTGTTCGAAATAATCCGTCTCCTCTACGGCTATGGTCTGTAGCACATCTAAGGCATCTCCTCGAAGAGCGATAGTCAGGTTTACAGCCTTTTCTTTTTCAGACCATCCATTCGCTCTTGCAGCTGATTCGAACTGTTTCATGTAATTGTTCCATGACGATTTTCCGTCGAAAGTTGGGACTTTGACATGAACAGAACCACCACCTCCTTCAAATTTCGGCTGTGTTTCCAACTTACATTTAATCTCGTCTTCTTTTGTCTCTACTGTAATTTGATTGTTTCCTCTCTATGCTGTCCCTGTTTACTCCATCTTGTTTTCCATCTCTTACCATATCTTTTCTTAGAAGTCCAACATATCGGCAGCAACTTTTTTTTCGAAGACATTCTATTGTCGAGGGCAGACATCTCAGAAGTGACTTTAGAGATGTAAGCAGAAACTTTGCTTTCCAGAGAAGAAAGGACGGAAGGCAGACCGGTGTTTTCAGCTGAGCGGCAAACTCACTAGAACAGAATAGAATTATAAAGAATATGTTTGGAGTTATGAGTCATAATTATCGTAACAATACATATAAAATCCTATCCACATATATAACGACTATCATGTTTTATTATGGTCTTTAGGCGAAATATCTTTCAGTTCTAATGACGTTAAGTAAAATGACTTTAGGTCAAAAGGTCAAATGTCTATTAGGTGAAATGCCTATTAGATTTATTGGCATTAGATAAGGACATTCGCTGAGCCCATTAATATTTAATCTGATAATGGATGAAATCATAAAGAAAGTTAAAAAAGAAGAGGATATAGAATGGCAAAAAAGGAAATAAGGCTAATATGCTACGCTGATGACGTCATAATAACAGCCGAAAATGAAGATGACCTACAAAGATTAATTAAAGAATTCGAAGATACGGCGCTCATATACAACATGGTGATCTCAACAGAGAAAACTAAAGCGATAGTGATATCAGCGGAACCGAGACGATGTAAACTGGTCGTAAATAACAAAATAATAGAACAAGTGATGAAAACTTAATACTTGGGAATAAAACTGTCATCAAGCTACGGAAAAGTGGAAGAAGAAGTACAAAACAAGTGAACATGGCAAACAGAGCAGCAGGATGTCTCAACAACACAATCTAGACTAATCTAGGAGAAACAAATACCTCACAACGGAAATGAAAACCAGGATATATAAATCAACAATAAGACCGATAATGACGTACACAGCGGAAACAAGAGCAGATACGGCGAAAACACAAAGACTACTGGAAACAACAGAAATAAAAGTCTTACGAAAAATAACAAACCAAACTCTAAGAAACATACTAAGAAGTGAGGAAAGACAAGCGAGATGTGGTATAGAGGAAATAAACAAGTGGACCAAAAGAAAAAAAGTACAATGGAATCAACACATCGAAAGAATGACAGAAAATAGAATAGTACGAATAACAAGAGACAAATCGCCAAATAGAAGAAGATTATTGGGACGACCGAGGAAAAGATGGTTAGACAACGTCAATTGAGGCTAAAAACCGAAGTAAAACAGGCATTAAGCCTATTTATAAAGTAGGAAGAAGAATAAGAAGATTAAATGACGATGAGGTGAAATGTGTTAGGTGAAATGAAGTTATTTTGGGTTGCATAAACACTACTTTTTTAATTATTAACTGCAATCTGTGTCGACTAGCCAATCCTACAAACCTGTTCTATCATCATGTAATCTAACCCTTCTTCAATAAGTTTTTAAGATAAGATTTCTACTATGAAAATACTTAGTTTTGTCTGTCAACATTTTTTTAAATTGTACGCCGAATAAAAATTGCCATCAACCTAATATAATTTCCTATATGAGCCATTCTCACCTCAGCTTCCTTGAAGATATCGAATTACTGACAATATTTTTTACAATGTACACTGTTTTTTATTCAAAATAGCAGTTCTCTTTATGTCACTGTATTTATTTATCCTTTCTTTTTGGTTGTTATGGAAAAAATTTACAGATCCATTTTAGACATTTTACCTAGCAGCGTATTTGTTTAGCGATATAGAGTTAGCTTTGCGAGTTGTGGTACAAAGTAAAACAGTTCGACCGACGTGAGTTCCTTGTCCTCTTACAACTGCTTTTGTTTTATTTTAGAGACGATGTAGATATGTAGCTCTTATGGACATGCAACCAGATACATTATACAGTATAGAACTTCATGGCTTTATTTTTAATCCAAATCGACAAACTCAACGTGTGCAAAGCCGCCCCATATTAATACGTACTAGAAAAGAAGGTATAACTCCAAGATCTATTAATAATTTTTGGCTCAGCAAATTTGAGTTTAAAGATAAAAAATATACCGCTAATGTGCAATGGACTGGAGGAAGAGGTAGGTCAAGTGGTAAAGTACTTAAAACTAGCAGGTAAATGTAAACCTTATTTTTCTATATAGGTTCTAAATAATCAAGACCGTTTCCTTATCTATTGCTACTTCAAAGAGTCTACATTATATATTATATTTAAATGACCAAATATATGGCCTAGGAGGACAAATTCGTTAAACTTCTCGTGCTCGAATCGGTATCAATAAAGTGTTATGACTCATTTCGGCCTATCCCAGCCTCATCAGACACTTGGACTGATACAAATTCAAACTCGGAAAGTCCAACGAATGTCTCCCAAAGTTTCACCACAGCAGTGGTTAGAGTACAGAGGCGCCACCTGCTTTGGCGGCCATAAACGAAAACGATATACCCCTGTGCGGGGTCAAATCTTCTTTGTTTCTCCACATATTCCGTGATTTATGATTATATGATCCGTGGTAACTACTATCTTCCTTCCTTCCTTCCTTCCCTGGAGACCCCGAATACAAACTAACAGAAATAGAGGTCGACCCCTAACGAGTTGGACAGATGACATAAAAAGAGTGACTACGAATTGGATTCAGATGGCGCAAAATCGGACGAAGTGGAAAAGCATGCGAGAGGCCTATGTTCAGCAGTGGACATTAGAGCCTAGTTGTTAATGATGATGGCTCTCTTCCTTCTATTTCATCCATTCAGCTTTAACTCTACTGTATGCGCCTCCATATATTTCCTCATAGCTATGTAACACCAATCCTAAATATTTAAAGACATTTGATGCCCTCATTTAGCCCTTGTTTTAACACATTAACGGGAATAAATAAAAGCTAAACGTTAAGACCTGGTGCAATCCTACTTTTACATAAAATTTATCAGTCTCTTCTACAACGTCCTAGTTGTTAGTCCCTCATACCATACGTATCTCTCAAAAACTTCACAAATTCATTATTTGAAATTACTTTTTTATTGAATACCACTACAGAACCTCTCGAGACTCCCTACCATATGCTTTCTTAAGATCAATGAATATCAGGTGAGTGTTTGTTTAGTAATTCCTATATTTTCCATTAGGTGCTATATAATAAAGTTACCTACATATATTCTTTATCTGTGCAACGTTGAAAATTTTCTTTCTTTTTGTACAAAGATACTAAAATACTTCTTCTCTCCGTTCATCTAACATATTATATTCCAATTCATTAATTTTATTTATAAGATCTGTTAAGCTTGTTTTTGTCTCTAACAGATCTCTAGGGACATCATCTGATTTAGCTTTCTTCCTTTTTCCTATACATTTTTTCTCTGCTTTTCTTTTTATCTTTTATTATTTTTCTTTTGCCTTTCTTTTCTTTTATCTGCAATAGTTTAGTGGATATTACGCCTAATATTCTTCATTAAAACTGCATTATGTCAATTCTTCAGCACTCGTCTTTTATTTCCTGCTATGATCTGTTCTTTCTGATCATATAAGCTTTTTTTCAAAAATGTAACGGAAAATATTGACTTCCTCAGTTCACAACAGTTTTGTCAAGTGACAAAATCAAGTTAGTCAATCAATGAAATTTCTGTCGGCTTAACATTCCTTGAAGGAGATAATCAAAAAGGCTAATTGATACGAACCCTAAGTTATTCAAGATCCTAATCCAAATAGTCCAAAAGGTATTAGATTATCCTCTGGTTTCCTTCGTTGTTAAAATCTTCTCGCAATCTCTGAATTTTACGCAATTTTACTCCTAGGAAGAGATTTAAGTTTGCTGGAAGTATCGACATCGTAAGGTTTTGATGGAATAGAATCACGTAAATCACGATATTGATGACTTTAAGTTGTTAACAGTCTTTCAAAAATAAACACGATTAAAAGCAAGACAAGTAGTTTCAGTTCTAGGCTGAAAACAGACAAGATAATAAAAGAAAATATATTATGAATTATTTCGAATAAGATACACCATATTTTGTTTTCTTATTTTCAGATCCTCCTTGTTTTTATAAGATAACTTACTTTTCACCTATGGGAGATTATGAAGAAGTCAACATTGATCCAGTAAGTTTTTTAATAATTTCATTTAATATAGACATATTTAGTTCTATTTTGGTACTGAAGACAACTTGCTTATATTCACTTAGTGGATATAAATTATAAATCTTTCCATTTATGTTTATGTACATTTATGTCGTTAAGTTAATAATAAGTAAGATCATTCAATAAGTATGCTTTCGTCTGCTACTATTTACCCCATTACTGAGAAAATATCAAACGCACGAAAAACTTATAAAAAAGAAATTATAGGAAATCGCATTTGCAACAATATCAGTCTTTACCATTTTTGTCGAAAAGTTAAAAATGACGGAGATATTGATCAAAAACAGTTCTCCTTTAAATAAAAGATGGCTACTAATGGTCGCGAAAATTTAAACTCCTATTGAGCCCCTAAAAGTTAGAATAATACAATTTGGGGTAACTCACCATGAAAGATTAAGCCTTTTCTCGTCTAACTCCAATGGACTCAAAGGTAATACTATTAATAATACTAATTACTTTTTAATACTTTTTTACTGCCTTTATTGACTACAAGAAGACCTTTGATTCAGTGCCACATGAGTGGCTTATAGATAAATTGAAAATGTATAATAAAGTCGATAATAATCTCGTGACCTTTTTGAAGCATATAATGACAGAGTGAAAGACTCAAATTCACCTTCAAGTACCTGGTAAAAACAATATTGAAACTGAAGATATACTAATCAACCGGGGTCTTTTCCAGAGGGACTCGTTGAGTCCACTTTGGTTCTACCTAGCCATTCGAAATCACCTAGATCAGGTGTTAAACACTAGAAAATTTCTCAAATGGTATCAGTATGCATTTTGGACTAAAGTGCCATATACTAAATATAGTCAGAGGAAAGGTTCAGTCCGAAGGTTTCGATATGCAAGATGGTCAAAACATCGAGGCAATGGGTGAAAATGATATGTACAAATATCTTTTGACCATAAACAAAATTTGTTGTCAAAAATCAAAACCCAACCAACTTCCGAGTTCGTATGAAGACTAAGACAACTAAATCGGTCATATCTTAATAGTAGAAATTTGTGTAAGGCATTAAATAAGTATGCCTGTTCCGCGCTGAGCTACTCATTTGGTATTATAAAGTGGTCAAAAACGGATATAGAGAGTTTTCAGCGTAAAGTAAGAACACTTCTCACAAAGGCGCAAAAACACCATCCATGTATTGCAGTAGAGAGAACAACATTACCGTGATATCAAGGGGAAAGAGGACTTAGGTGAGCAACTAGATAAGCGGGTCGCTAATTTAAGAACTTATTTTCAGAAGTAGGCTGAGATATCTACATTACATCGAATAATTTGCGCAGTAGATGATACAATGCTGCTAACACTAAGGAAATAAGAAATGCGCATAAACCACCTGACTAAGTAAGAAAAAATACGCCCCTGAATGAGTAAACCTATGCATGGGTGGTATCTCAATCACAGTACAGCATCGAACTATTGGTTGGCATCAGGAAAGATATTTCTCGAGACTGAGGGTTTTGTACTTGCCATTTAGGAACAGGTTATTCCAACTAAAAATTACCTACTAAAGTTTCTTAAGTCCAAAATGCCAAATGCTGATATGGATGCCAAGCCCAATAAACCATCCAATATCTTACCGGTTGCTGTCAGGCGTTTGTCGGTACTGATTACAAAGAACGCCATAGCTCAGTAGAAAATATTATACACCAAGAACTAGCTGACAAACTGGGACTTCTCCAAACCGACCATCTTCCTTATTATCAATACGTCCCTGACAGAACCCTTGAAAATGACAACTACAAGCTATACTGGGACCGCACTGTGCTCACAAACGCACCAGTGGTACATAATAGACCGGATCTCATACTAGTTATTAAACTTACTAAGCAAACAACACGAATTGATGTGGCGATACCTAACACCAATAATTTGCGTGTTAAATACAACGAAAAAATCGCCAAGTACGGAGATCCGTTAATACAAATCAGGAGACAATTGAGAATGGAAATTACCCAGACAATACCTTTTATTCTATCTACTACTGGTGTTATTCCCAAAAACTTTCTAGAGAACATAAAACAGCTGGGTCTAAATGAACATCTCTATAAGGAAATGTAGAAAGCTGTACTCCTCTCAAAGTCCAGATGTATACGAAAATTTTTCTGAGATACTCCAGCATACCAAGTTATATAGGGCTTAATAACACGGAAAAATCCCTCCAGAGCTTAATCCTTTTAATACCGTAAATAATTCAATTATTAAATTATTATTATTAGTATCCAGATTGGCATCCAGGATCAAATAATAATAATGTTTATAATTTAAAATAAGCCACAATAAATATTAATGATATAATATTATTATATAATTACCTATTTCAATTTCAGTTCGAACTAGATTACACTTGGGCTATACCAAATCTTATAGTTGAATCAAATTATCAAATAGCACTAACGCCGTATACATCACCCGATGATTTTCCGGTATTAGAAGGTAAAAAAACTTGGCTAAACATCACTACACCCTCGTGTATTGAAACTTTCCATAGTACCAATAAGTGCGGTAAGAATAATTATCTTTAAGTAACTTAATTTCTATTAAATTCTATTTTCTTGTGGCATTTTTAAGTAATTTCTATTTTAATGGGAATAAGTAACAATTGAAGGTTAAAATAAGTTTATTGACGTTTGACATTAATCCAACTTGTAAATATCCCGTATTCACGTTCTCCTCCGCCAATCCTCCCGGTCCAAGGCATGCTCCTTCTCCAAAACCTATCGTATAATTCCTTTATTCCATGAGCGTTAAGGTCTACCTCTTTTTCTTCTTCCAGGGGGATTCCATTTGGGAAGTTTTTGGGGCCAAAGTTCGTCAGACATTCTCACTAGGTGTCCAAACCATTTGGAACCTCTGTGAGGGGTAGCTTTTTCGAAGCGACAGACTCAGTAAAACACAGGTTGAAATAAAAATAAATCTATTAATTCTAACATATGTACAAAAATAAAAATAAAATATATTCTGTATCCCCGCCTAAATCACGCGAGAGTGAATTCCCCGGCTTACGTCTGTAAAAGAAAAAAAAATTATTATTACTAACAAAAAATTAAATAAGCAAATTCGATCGTACGCAGACTTATACTCGCTTCCACTTCAGTCCGGCGGAAGCGCCAACGTTCTTGCAATCAAAATATTCGATTGTGCAGATCCAGGTTATACTCTGAGTCAGAGTTGACGATAACCTTCAGTCCACGATACCCACGGGTTTTGCTTGATTAAGGACAGAGTATAATCCTCATTGCGGAAGTCTCTCTGTCCGTGTTGGCTCGCAAATTCAATACACCAGCGAGCCAGGGAGCCTAGAGCGTTAGCCACAAGACTTCTTTAATTCCGCGAATAGATCGCTTTAAATAGCCGCTCCGGACCCCACCTCGTCGTGGAAATGGATGCGTGACTATCGACACTCCCACGGTTCGAACTGTTGAACGTTCAGCACATCGTTACACCTCTTCTTTCTACTCTGTCAATGACCGTTTCTGTAGCACTAAAGTGCACCTAAATCTTTAAATGTTTCCACTGTTCTAATGTTTTCTCTGTCGCACTTGGGTAACGGGCAAGTGATCAGTCTATCTTTTATTATTTGTCTATGAATGTGTCTGACATTTAAAAAGGACTAGAAAAGCAAAATTTACTGTATACCTGTATATGTATTTATTGCTTTAATATAGAACTCTGTATGCTTCCTACAATTTTGTTTTTTTAACGTAAAATTATTTCAACTTTTTTATTTACAAATTTATTTACAAACAATTTTATTTACTTATAAACTTTGTGGGAAGGTTGATTTTGGGAAGGGCGGCCAAATTTCTCTCGCACTCGGGAGGCAGATATCCTAGAAATGGTCCTGTATAAAAAATATCATACAAAATAGAATATCGATAGACTTATGTTGATTTTAGTTCCTGAAGATCCAGAAGATATAATGGTTGTAGAAAACGTTTTGGGAAATTTAAGATCTGTTATACATTACAATGTTACTGTTAAATGGAAAGAGCCAAAGTATCCACCGTCTAGTTATATGATCAGCATTTTATTTATTAATACCGAAAATCCTTACATATTGGTGTCACATAATATTTCAGGGGTAAGTTTTATTTAATACGTCCATAGATCTCTTCCATATTTTATGATTAAATTTTTTTATTTCAATTTAGGTGTGTCCACAGCTAATGGTCATTGGACACTAAAAACAATGTTTAGATTATTTCTTCAAATTTTACAAGTTTCGGTACAGTTTTTTAATAAATATTGGAGAAATGCCATCTGGTCCAGCAGCAGAATCTTTTAGAATGTGAACAACATATACACGCCGGCCAAGAGTATAAAATGTCGTGAAAAACGACGATAACTAAATTCGATCGGGAGTATTGATCTGGCAAGAACTTCTAACCCGGTCTTTGAATAGTGATCAGAGCCCACTGTGCTTTACCATTGCTACGATCGAGTCTCGACCGAGCATTGTTCGGCTGCTCGCCGGTCTTTGGGTATTGACTAAATATCTTCCTTCGTTCTACCCATACGAAGGTCACTAATATTTATTTTCGTTCAGCTAAGCAGTAATAGTTGATCTTAGAAGAGTATATGACTTATTGCAGAACATCCACTGAACTGCTTACCGTAACTTTGCCATAAATGATTTTCTGTTTCTTGTTTGTATATATTTAAGTTACGTTTTATTATCCTTTTTTATGCACAATGTATTTTTTTATGACTTGCTACAAACAATATTTGTATTTGTTATGTAGTTAAATAAATACTCTACTCTAAACGTTGAGGACCGCAGTCAGTTTTGTTTTAATTAAGAGGATTCATCTTTTGATTTTACGTATTGTATAGAAGAGTTCGTGTCACAGTATAGACAACGACTTGTTATTTATACTGTGGTTCGTGTAGATGAAACGATAGTTTAAGTGGATCGGGGTTAGGTAAGAATTATTGAGAAGAGTCCTCAGTCTATTCTTCTGTCATTTTAGCATATTTTTGTGTATTATATAGAACTCTTCCCAAGAAAGTAATCTTCCCAAGTCTTCTTCGAGATTAAAGTTGTATGTAATAATCGGTTGACAGGTTTCCTTGTATGTATTTCTTAATATTCTCCATACTTTTTCTGTGTTCTGTTTAAATCTGTCCATGTTGTCCGTGAAACAGTACCAATATTTCTTTACCAATTTTTATAATTCTTGTATTCATCTTATATATGGATTCAATGTAGATATACTATATGTTGATTTAATATTTAATTTAAATTTTATTTCACAGGATCACACGAATTTTACATTTTTTGATGTAGCACTACCTTCGAATTATGGAGTATCGCTAATAGCATATTCTGCACGTGGTGCCAGTAAACCTGCTTATATCGAGCGACATACAGTGGTAAAAATAAACGAAAGTGAGCAGGTTCTTGATCCTCCTCCAAAAGTATCAAACAATCTCACAGTTATTATTGCTCCAGTAGCCGCACTAATTGTTTTGCTTATGATAACTGCAACTATCTTCATTATTTTAAGGATAAAGAAACGGGAAAAAAGTTTTGAGGTGAGTGGAATTTATTAGTTAATTTGTCGCAAATATAGTAACAACTTTCCTCTGGCAGCTATTTTATATAAAAATAGTACCCTCGAATATAACATATTTGCCAATATCTCGAAATGTAATCAAATTCACATACATTATTTCTAAGGTAAGGAAGCCAATTAAGGCCACGTTAAGGTTTAAATGTCTGTAATGTTTTATTAAGCAAAAGTATGGAGGAAAAGTCTTGTATACGCATTGCCTAATATTTTAGCTATCGAATTTCACGATAAAATACTTAATAAATAAATAAAGAAATATAAAATTTTAACATTGAATAAATCTTGATTATTTGGCCTTATTTGGAACTGGTAACTTAATAAGGCCAGTTTTTAATTTAAAAATATTTATAATACGTATCGTCCTTACACACTTCTATCTTTATTATTAGATTAGCAGCGCTATTTTATAGCAACGATGTTGTATATTGTGTGTAATATTATTAAAATATTCAGAAGTTTTTAAACCTTTATTAACAACCATATTCCTACTATAAGTATATGACAAGTGACAAGTATCAAGTGTAGCATTCTGATAATTATGTAGAGTGACATAGTGTTTCCAACTAACAATATACGATACTATTTCACAACAGTCACGTCTTCAACTCACAACTTTAAACGATTATGGGGAATTTATACAATCTTATTTTTAGGACAGCAATAATAAATTTATACCTGGTAATTTAAATACAGCTATAATCATCCCCATGAAAGCAGATGAATGGGAAATTGATGTGAATAAGCTGACAATAAAAGAAGTTTTGGGTAACGGTGCTTTTGGGGTGGTAAGAAAAGGCTGGTATATGAAAACTAAAGAGAAGGAAATAGAAGTTGCTATCAAAATGTTAAGAGGTAAGTATCGAAAACCTATGCAGCTGAATTTTCAGATCTCAAATACATTTATACTAGGAGATATGTCTAATGGGTCACTCAAGGTGAGACACTCGAGATAAATATATTGGTGAAATTTTAAATGAATTTGCTTAAAATAATTTATAAATTTAACAGATTACCACAAGAACAAAACGATTAACGGGTAATAAAAAATCTTGCGCATTAGAAGCCAGCGCATTGAGGCAAAAATGCTGGTGATGAGTTTACCTATCTGACGTGAGACCTAATCAGTTTACGGGTCTCCAAAGGATGCCGGTGAACAGTTTTATGTATCTCGGAGAGTCTAATAATTTTATATGGGGCTATAAAGTGATGAGTTCATACATCATCATCATTAGCCATTTTGCGTCCACTGCTGAACATAGGCCTCCCGTAAATAATTCCATTGCATCCGATCTTGAGCAACTTGAATCCAGTTAGACTGGATGCGCTTTAAATCGTCCGACCACCTTGTTGGAGGACGTCCTCGACTACGATAAGCATCGTGTCTAGGCCTCCACTCTAAAATTTTCTTTGTCCATCTTCCATCTCTGACCCTAGCAACATGTCCTGCCCAGTTCCATTTCAGGGTTGTAATTCTTTCAACTGCGTCCGTCACACCAGTTTTTCTCCTTACTATCTGACTCGAAACTCTGTCCCTAAGTGATACGCCCAACATTGACCTCTCCATCGCTCTCTGTGCCACTTGTATCTTATTAATTACTTTTCTGGTAAGTGTCAATGTTTCTGCTCCATATGTCAGAACTGGAAGTACACACTGGTCAAAAACTTTTCTCTTTAAGCACATGGGAATAGCTGATTTAAAGACTTCCCTCAGTTTTCCGTAAGCTGCCCATGCCAGTCCTATTCTCCTTTTTAACTCTGTTGTTTGATTGTCTCTTCCCAATTTAATCTCGTGGCCCAGATACTTATAGGAATACACTTGTTCAATTCGCGTGCCATTAGTGGAAATGTTTTTTGCCAGTACCAGGTTGGTCATGTATTGTGTTTTGGAAAAATTAATTTTAAGGCCAACTCGTGCACAAGAGCTCTGAAGGTCTTGAAGAAGTTGGCATGCATGATCTACCTGATCTGCAATAAGGACTATGTCGTCTGCAAACCTCAAGTTGTTCAAAAATTCCCCATTTATATTTAATCCAATATTTTCCCAATTATTTTTTCTCATAGCACTCTGTAATAGGGCGGTGAATAGTTTAGGAGAGATAGTGTCTCCTTGCCTAATACCTTTCTCCAAGGGAAATGTGTCTGTGTCACCATAGTACATTTTTACAGCAGCTGTTGCGCTATAATATATATTTCGAAGAAGAGTTGTGTACATATGGTCAATACTGCACTCTGTAAGAGCTCTTAACATGGAGCTATGCTGGACTGAATCAAATGCTTTCTCAAAGTCTACAAATATTAATATCAATGGCTTGTTGCATTCTATAAATTTCTCTATCAAGGATTTTATTACTTGTAGGTGGTCATTTGTTCCAAAGCCACTCCTAAATCCGGCCTGCTCTAGAGGTTGATGAAAATCTAACTTAGGTCCCAGTCTGTTAGTAATTATTCTCATAAAGAGTTTATATAAATGAGATAATAAGTTGATAGGTCTGTAGTTGCCAATTTCTGTTACATCTCCTTTTTTATGCAATATTATCATAATGGCATTATTCCATTTTTCTGGCGTATTTCCTTCAAAGAGGCAGGCATTATAAAGGGTTTTTAAAGCCTTTATGACGCATTCGCCTCCTAGTTTTATCATTTCACTTACAATGCCATCTTCTCCAGGTGTTTTGTTGTTCTTCATACCTTTTAATGCTGACTTAATTTCCTCTTCGGTTATATCTGGAAGTTCCTCTGACCCTTGATTTAGTATTGCTGGAATTTCTACTTCGGGAATGTGATCATCTCGACTATATAATGTTCTATAGTACTCTTCGATGATTTTTAGTATCTCTTGTTGTTCATGTATGACATGTCCTTGATTATTTTTTAACTTATAAATATTCCTCGTTCCTATTTTCAACTTTCGTTTTAGAACTTTTAGGCTTTTGTTTTGTTCTACGGTATCAGTTATTTCCTTAGTGTTAAAGTTCCTTATGTCTTTCCTAATGGCTTTTGAAATGGTTTTGTTTAAATTCCTTAGCTCTGCAATGTTCGTTGTATGTTTTTCTTTCATTTCCCTTCTTTTTTGCATTAGGTTTCTTGTGTCTTCTGTGAGTTTTTCATTTTTTGTTGAGTGCTTGGCTTGGCACTTCTTCTGTGACTTCTTCAGGGCTTCTACCAATTTTTCGTTAAGCTGTTCAATACTGGTTTCATCTTGCAGGTCTTTCTGTAGATTACTCTCTATTTCTTCCTGGTATGCCCTGGTGTTAGTAATCGCAGTGAATGTAACATTATTAGTCCTTGTTACCATATGTCTTCTTTCCTTCTGTATGTTTAAGACTATCTTCGCCCTAACCATTCTATGGTCACTTCCAGTTGAAAATTGATTTAATACAGTTACGTCTTGAACAGCGTCTTTTTTGTTAGTAAATATAAAATCAATTTCGTTCTTGTTTAAACCATTTGGTGATTGCCAAGTCAACTTTCTTTGGTCGCTTTTTTAAAGTGCGTATTCATGACATATAGCCTGTGTTGCAGAAGAAATTCTATGAGAGTTTGACCCCTTTCGTTTCTATCGCCATATCCGTGAGGTCCAATTGCAAACTCCGAATCATCTTGCTTGTGGCCTATTTTGGCGTTTAGGTCTCCCATCAGTATAGTAAAGTTGGTGTTTGTCTCTTGTATGGCAGTGTTAACGTCATTACCACGTAGAACCATTCTACTTCTTCATCTGTATGGGTACTAGTAGGTGCATATACCTGGATGATCTTTAACCGAATTTTTTCGTTTACTTTGTAGATAAGATATATAACTCTATCGCTTATTCTTTTAATTGTGAGTATATTCTTTGTGTGTTTTTTATTTACCATAAATCCTACGCCACCATTGGAAGATTCTCCTCGATAATGCAATAGGTTTCCCGACGGAAGTACCATTTGTTCTTCACCCTTTCGCCGTACTTCGGACAATCCAAGTATATCCCATTTTATATGATTCAGCTCGTTTTCCAGTTCAACTAGTTTTTCGTCCTCCATCAATGTTCTTGTGTTGTATGTTGCCATAAACCATATTCTTTGCCGTTGTCGTTTATGAAGGTAGCCTGGTTGACTACGGTGATTCTTAGCACCCTCTGTCCCTCTAACTACAGAACTGCTACCATAGCCTGTTTTCAAGGGGCTGCCGGAGACTGAGGGCCTTGCATTTTCTTCCTTTCTCATTTTACGGGGTTCCTGGCCGTTTCTCTACCACGCTGGCCTGTGCGGGTTGGTAGAAGGATTGTAGGATGGACTAGGGAATTTGGCGTCATCGACAAGGATGATAGGTTGGGACGTGGTACCCTCTCGGTTAAAGGGATTGAGAGTGAGCCACGGCTCGCATAGGCAGGGTCGCGATCCTGAAGTAGACCTAACTCTACCGGGATCGTAAAATGTATCTACCTGCTACCTTAGTTCGTACACGTTAGAATAATTTGGAATAATGCTGTTCATACAATGCCACTAAACAATACTATGCTAAACATGAAATGAATAAAAGTTAATAGATTATATTAGAAAATTCGTATGGTTTGTGCATTTTTATTTGTATGGTTTTTATACTAATTTAGAGAAAAGCTGTAAATAAAAGAAGATTCGGTGTTCGCGAATATCTTTGAATTCCAAACAGTAAACAAGGAATATTCCATTCCTTGAATATTTGATGCGCTAAGTGTGTAAATAACTAGTTTAAACTGAACAAACCACTTGAATTTTCTCAAAGATCATCCCGGAATGTTTTCTACTCAGATTTCGGTTTTAACAACCATTTGCTGTACTCTAGAGAAGTTCTCAAAGGGTAGCGTAGAAAAACATTACCTTATAGCCTGTTTCTTACATGAGGATAACTCAGAGCTACGGCAAACCGTAGCTAGATGAAATAGATTTAAAAACAAAACCTATTAAACATACTACTACAAGTATTTTTCTTATATATACTTATATACGTACTATTACGTACTTAATATATGTACTTTTTCCAAAAATGCCGTTACGCTTTGGTAACGCTAGCTGTGATATACAAAAATTAGTGGACAAGTAAATTAAATCTGTGAGCTGAAACATTATGTTACACTCTACATCCAGTATCCTACATCACGTTTCACACACATCATGCGAATACTTGAACTACAACCTTCTCCGGCACATCGACGCCTATTATTATTGGGAATGTCTGCCAAAAAGTGGTTTGTTCTATTAAATCTTAAGTTATCTGAAACCCTATAGAAATATGGAAAGATAGGCCCTTGCGACGGCCCTGATAAAATATTCTCGGTGTTATAAGAAATTCTACGGCTGTCCTGACTTCACGAAAGAGTTAGTTTAATACATATATTTGTACTAAAATATTGGATATGCTATTATATATTTTTCAGAAAACCCAACTTCTGAAGAAATTCAACAATTCCAACAAGAAATCCAATTAATGAAAGCTGTTCCAGTTCATCCTAATCTAGTATCGATGATTGGTTGCGTTACTCAAGGACAGCTTCTTTTAGTTGTAGAATATTGTCCAAAAGGCGATCTTCAAACTTATTTAAGAGTGGCTGCAGATAAAATGTTAAAAGCGTAAGTAAACATTTTCGAGTATTCTATGTAAATAATTTATAAGGAAACGATTATAAACGATATAAATTTTTCATATTAATTATTCAAACTTTTCAAATGAAAACGATAACATTTTTCATATTAAAATTATTATCCTTTTAAAAATAATTTTGTAAAAACAACCTATTTATAATATTGTAATCGTAATGTAAGTTATATTTTATCAACTTGTTTCCTCAGATCGTCAGCGCTCGTGTTAATGTGTTTGCGAGCCTCTCACTCATAATCTCTCTTCACCCCGCGTTATAGAGCTTGGAACAGTTGGGAGTGTTGGGACAAGCTCAAGGACGTGAATGCGTGATGCGTGAGTGATAGATGCGCTTGTAATACCGGTGTTTTGTGTTAAACCGGATACCAGTTTTGTCTCTCTCGATACTATGTATCTTTGTTACTGCCTCCTAACACTGTAAAGCTAATGATATTTGTATAACTCTTTTTAGTATTATCAGAATTGCGATAATTATTAAAGTAGAATCAGCCATTAAGTTCACTATAAATAAATCGAAGGAAAAATACTTCTTAAGTGTTTTATTGCTTCAGTGACCCTTAATAAATATTTTGAATCAATTAAGTGTTTAACTAGGCCTCTCTTAAATGTGAAAAGTTTGGTAATAAATTTATCCTTTCCACAAAATAACTAAAATTTTTTACCTGTTTTCAGAAATCTTATAAAAGGAAATGATTATGTAGAAAAATCGGTATTCAACAAGATGTACGAATTTGATCAACTTGATCTCGATGATATTCCTCAACCCAAAGATCTTATTTCTTTCGCTAGGCAAGTTACTCTGGGAATGGTAAGTAGAGAAACTTATAATACAAGTAGTAATAATAATAATGAGCGATACTGCTCGCAACGTCCATACGTACGAAAATTTTTGGGAAATACTCCAACTAAGATTACCTAAGGCTCCATAACACAGAAAGAGTCCCCCAGGGCTCAATCCATAAGGTAGTTATGTCTATTTTTTTAAAATAACTTCAGTGCATGGCTCATTAAACTTATTGTTCTATGATCTTCACCTTCTGTAGCGTTGTTTTTCTTAGGAATTGCAATGAAAGTATAGTAGTCAGCCAATCACTGGGTATTTCTCCTGTTTCATAGACCGTATTAAAAAGTTTCGTAAGCACATGTGTATCATTTTTGTTCAACAACTTTAATAGTCCAACAGGCATCTCGTCTAGATCAGGAGCCTTTCCGTTCTTCATATTCTTGAGCGCATATAATAAATACCTCTTCATTTATTATCATTGATCCGCTATCTGGTTCTTCTGATATTGTGGATCGAGTCTCTTATCTTCAAAGAGACCTTCTATATATCTTTTTCATGTTTGAATTTTTGCTTTGTTATGTGTTGGTATCTGCCCGTTGCCTAAGTCTGTAGCTTCCGGTGAGTTCTTTAATCTTTTTATTATATTAAACGATTATGTAATTTTTGTAGATTTTCTATTCCATACAACAAATTTTCCTTTGCTTTCCCTTTTTTTTTTGTATTTCTCTATGCACCTTGGCATATCTTTTTGTATTCAAATAGTAGTTTTGGAGAACAATATATTGTTTCCTTTTTGTCACTTATGACGTTTAAGGATATTTTCTTGGTTTTTAGGAATTTCTATCATCTTACAAACTAATCCATCGTGATCTAGCTGCCAGAAACGTATTGATTACCGACGACAATAAAGTAAAAATATCCGATTTTGGGCTAAGTCGTGACGTCTATTACAACAACATGTACTGCAAATCGTCAGGAGGAAAATTGCCGATACGTTGGATGGCTCTGGAATCCATGACCCATCAGATGTACACAACCCATAGCGACGTTTGGTCATTTGGAATTCTTCTCTGGGAAATTACCACCTTGGGCGGGACACCGTATCCTGGAATACCTACTCAGGATATTATGGGAATGTTGAAGAAAGGATATAGGATGGCAAAACCTGATAATTGCTCTGATGAATTGTAAGAATACTTTCTTTCATTTTTCTTATTACATTTTACAAATTTATTTTAAAGAGTTAAATAAATGAATAAAATTTAGTATAGTATCTAATCAGAAAGTTAAATTCTTATGAGATTTTTAAAAATCAATTAACTCCATGTATTGGCGACGTGCAAGTACTTGGATGTGATACGAGAAACGATCGTGCGCGAGTAGCGGAGAAATCTTGCATTTTTTACTGCACATTTCATAGATTTCATAAATTCATATTGTCAATTGTCATGTTTTATATTCGTTTGTTTATTTACACCTTCTGTCACTGAAGAAAATGGGATTTAGTAAATGCTGTGTTAGAAATTGTAAAAATACAACAAAAAATTGTCAATTTAAGTTTTATTCGTTTCCAACTTCGAAGCACAAATTACTACAAAGAGAAAAGTGGATTTATATCATAAAAAAGTATAAGTAACATAACCTAAATTATGCATTATTCTTGCGCCCGATTTTAAAGTCAGTTTGAAGTAAATAATAAATAAAAGTTCACTTTTAAGTGTAAATTTTAGTTTCATAACACTTACTTAGAGTTCACTTTAACCCAAAAATCAAGTTTAATGTTTAAATTTTATTTTTTTGAAGTTTACAAACAATGCATCAAGTTCAAGTTTTTCTGAAGATGAATTAAGATATATTCGCTGTCAAAAAGTTTTTTCAGGGAAAAAATTAATTGTTCAAACCAATATAATGATATCATGGGCTTAACCTGCTAATTTATACATTTATGCATTAGCATTATTTATGGTAATTTATTTTTCTTAATTCTTCCACATTCTTAACATGATTTGCCACTACTAAAGCTTTTCCCTTTGACTCAGTGCTTGGTTGAAAAGTTATTTGGTGATTTACTTTCTCAAATCCAGTTTTTATTATTGCATCCATATTAACAGTAATTTAATAATATATTTATTTGTATTTACACTACATACAACGTTTACCTTTTAATAACATACCGACTGTCGGTAACCGAACACCAGGTGTCGCTGTTCCGAACTTGCACGGTCCCAATATTTATTGCTAAAATGACTTTAACCTTATTATGAGGTATCTCATGAAAGTGATTATGCAAAAACATCTCATGGTAATATTTTTCCGAACGAACCCAAGGTTTTCCCCTTTTTTACTTTAGAATAAAGTATACACCACATGTTATTTTTTTCAGATACGTCATAATGTGTAAATGTTGGATTGAAAAACCTACCAGCCGACCTTCCTTTACAGAGTTAAAAAAGAATCTGGATGATATACTTTCTTCGTTCACAGAGTATTTAGTTTTAGATCCTTCACTAGCCTACAAATATAAAGATTTTACAGTTAAAGAAGATAATATTAAAAGATAAAATTGCATGTTAACCATTCTATTTATAGGTAGTGTTTGAATCGAAATTGTAGATTTTAAAAAGTTAACCAATCAATGTAAAATATTTTATAAACAATGGGACCGGACATGCTGGTATATTTTAAGATGAAATTGCATAAGTACAAACAATTGCATGTTGTTAATAGGACTTTTCATCAGCCGTCATGTTTTTCGTACAGACAGATTTGACAATGACGAATAATATAATATTATACGCTTCATCTAATTTACATGCCGATTCACGTCATCGGCATCATAGCCCGTGACGTCATATGATACCAATACGAAATATTTAGGCGATAGGTGTGTCCTTTTTTAGAATCACTTTGCCGAGTACACTGGCATTACAGCCACTAGACATATTTTATTATATAAGCGTAGAAATAATATTTAAACATTTCTATTAATGTTAACATAAAGAAATACACAATATTATGTTTCATTTAATTTGTATAAATGCATTATAAAGCGTTTTTATGAAGAACATTTGTTCGGAACACACTGTAACTGTAATCGAACGGAGGTGAAATTTTGGCATACATTGGTAACACTTATTTGACAGTTGCGGTGTTGACACTTTTTGTACTTTATTATTTTGAATTTTAAAGTGAATACCTCTTGTTTTATAATTTTACCTATTTAATAAAATATGTTCTTTTTAGAACAAAATTAGAGTGTTTTATTTCAAAAATGTCACGTAAGAATTTAAATAGTCGTTGTAAAGAGATGGTAATACTTTTGCAATAATTATGTGATCTATTTGATTTAAAATGGCAAAATTTAAAAAGTCAGGATTTTTTTATACTTTGGCAACTATGTCAACTTCGATCTCTGACGTAGATAATGACGTGCATCGGTATGTAAATTAAATGAAGTATACGTCATATATCATCATCATCATCTTTCGCTCTACAACCCTGGGTGGGTCTGGGCCTGTTAAATATGATTTGAGGTCTACCGATGTAGTTTTTGAATATACCTCAATAGTCACGTCCTCCAAGGTTTCTTGTGCATATTTATCTGCCAGATACTTTCCCGTTATTCCAATTCGTTTCCGATATTCTTAAGAAAAATTTAATATTTATAGCTAGAGTACCAGTATGTCTATTGTCTATGTCCCTTCTATGTAATAAATGTATGTTAACTGTGGGTTAAAAAAAAACGACGTATTTCTTAATTTTAAAACTATATTTTGTACAAATAAAACTCTTGAAAAGAGTTAGAAACAAAAGTATCACTTTAGTATTCAGATTTAATCTAGATATAATAGAAAATATATATTTTTAAAATGAATAGTATAAATAACTTTTAGCACATACAAATCATTTTTATACCTATTTAATATACACTTTTATACATATTTATACATTATACATCCTTTTTTGTAATCATTTTCATTCCTTAAATAAAACAATAATTAAAAATCCAATGGTGGTTTTCTTCAAGTGTCTTATATTGCTTAATATTTTTTCGGGAATGTGTTCATAGTTTATCAGGCGTGGATTTTAAAATATGACGTACACTCTTGGTTAATACTTGAATTGTGTTACTATTTATTAAATTATTAGACTGTATTAGATATATATTAGAACATGGTTAGTAAAGTTTACATTATAACAAAGATTTTTTTAACACCTTAGCATGTCATTGCGTACGTGTCATGTGTCATATCTCAACTGTCATATACTTTTATTTCAACGCACCAAGTATTGATACTGTGTTAAAAGGGAACCAAATTCTCAACGGCTATTCACACTGAAAACCATTATGTATATATATATATATATATATATATATATATATATATATATATTATATATATATATATATATATTATATATATATATTCGAATCGTGTGTGAAGTATACTACATGCATCGTTGCTACTAGGTATAAGTGTGTGTACTACATGTTCCTCTCTATTCTACAAAAGTATATTTGACAGTTTCTCCCATTCTAGCTATTCTATTATGTAATAACGACAAAATTTCGACGTTTCTTTTCTTCCATATCTCCCCTGATGTCTACATTAATGTCATTGCAATTTACTGATCAATTTAGCAAATAATTCGATTGAAATCATAGTTGTTTGAGATTAGTTACTATGAAGTTAACTATAACAATAATAAAAATAATCAAAAACGCCCATGAATAGCAATAGCAACCTGGAAATCATAATTTATGAGAAATAATGACGGTCGCAAAAAATGTTAACCAAAAATTGTAAATTCACTAAAAAAATGGATATTATTATAATTATTGTATCTGTCTAATGCAGACAACGAAAATGAATAGAAACAATTCAACTTTTACCAAGTAATATACGTCATACTGTTTTCTTTGTTCTAACCATAATCACAGGAACGATGGATCATAAGTCAGATACCGTCATTTCTTATGAGCGGATCGTCTCGGTCTACTGGAGGTGGAGCGGAATTAACTTTGGCGCTAGGTCCCTGTGTCAAGTAACCAGCAGTTGCAGGTGTACCTGCTAAAATAAAATATATATAAGTCTAAATGCGACAGTTCCATAAGAAATAGATAGACTGATAGTCGTGTTAAATACAAAAGGTGCCATTTATTTTATGACGATGAATGAAACATGATTTAATAAAATCGGTTTCTATCCATCACAATGATATTTTGGGAGCAGTGGGTATATCCTTATACATGTTTATGAACAAAACAATACCAATCTGTATATTTGGAGACTTTAACAGGTTGACTGTGTTACTGGTTTCCTGGGACCGGTGTTCGTTATTATTAAAGTGCGGCGTGTGAAAACTGCAAACTTTTAAAAATTGCGAAAGATATATCTTCGTTAATTTTCGTTTGTTTTAAACGCTAAAAAAAAGCATTATACTTGTCTTAAGATTCTAAACATTTCTAAAAGAAAGAAATGTACCGGGCCTTGGGGGCCGGTAACACACAGAGATTACAATTTGTTACTCGGGCGCGAGACCGGTCCTGCGGGACCGGTGCATATTTATATATCTGCATGCTTGCGCAGTCAATCGACATTTTAGTATCGTTTGTATTTCAATAGTAGGTGTGTTTACGTCCGTGTTTTTCGTGGTTTTACTAGTCTAAAAATGTCATCTCGCGTTAAAAAGATTTTTTTAGCTCAAACAGCTGATACAAACAAAACAAAAACTGTAGAGTGTAACGAACCGAGTACTTCAGTTGAAAATAAAAAATATGACGAAGATAACCCAAGTAATGTAAATTCGCGCCAAAGTCCAACTGATTTAAGAGACCATGTGCTTGCAGAGTTGCCAAATAGTGACAGTGAAAATAAACGGGACGATCCTTTTGATTCGGACGATTCTGTAATCGACAAAAACTATGTTCTTTCTTCAGATGAATCGTACAGTGATGTAAGTGAGAGTGATTTATTCGACGATGATAATGAGACAGAAATTGATAACGAAAAAATGTCAGAATCTGAAAATGATGATGAAAACGAGTGGCATGATATAGGTGAGAGTGACAGTGAAACTGATGAGTTGAATCAATATCAAGATATGCCTATATTAAATTTTAATGTTAACGAAATAAAAAATCCTACAGACGCTTACAAGTTATTTGTAACCGATGATCTTTTACAGAATATTGTCACTGAAACAAATAGATTTGCTCGGGAAATGTTGTTAAATATACATCGATCAAAATCACGTATACGTTACTGGGTTGACTGCGATATAGCCGAACTGAAACGTTTTTTTTTTCAATATGTATAGTTATGGGATTAGTTGATGGTCCCGCAATAAATTTATATTGGACGAAAGATCCCATGTTCAGGAATGAGTTTATTACAAGTATCATGAGACAAGACAGGTTCCTTTTACTGATGCGTTGCATTCATTTTTGTAATAATCAGCAGTGTAATAGAGATGATCGGCTTTATAAGTTAGGGGAAGTTTTAAAAGTGCTGAATAAAAGTTTTCAAGCTGCAATAACTCCAGGACGGATTTTGGTAGTCGATCATAGTACCTTATCAAGGAAGACTGCAAATAAAGCAATATCTGCCAAATAACACACCCGTATGGAATTAAATTATATAAGTTATGTACAGTGAATGGTTATGTACCAGTACCAATGCCAATACTGTTCAGAGTGAGCAGATAGTGTATGATCTTCTTGAACATGTTGAATTCGAAAATGGCTACTATTGCTACTTGTATGCTGATAATTATTACTTGAGTTTACCTTTAGCCACATTATTATTCAAAAAAACAAATAATTTATTGTGGAAAGCTGAGGTCCAACAGAAGAGGTATTCCCAAAACGGTACCTAAAAGAATGAAAAAGGGAGAGATTGGATGGACAAACGGCCAGTTCTGATGTTAAGCACTGATCCAACCCATACAACTACTGTAGAACCAACAGGAAAGCGAAACTGGCAACGTAAGTTTGTATTGAAACCAAAGGCAATTATTGATTACAATCAAGCAAAAAAGGAGTAGACTTTAGTGATCAGATGAGTTCTTATCATTCCGTTTTAAGAAAAAGTTTTAAATGGTACCGTAAATTACCCTTTGAGTTTTTGCTTGGAACATCTATTGTAAATGCCTGGATTGTTTATAACAAGATTAGTTGTTCCACAACATTATCTATAATGGAATTTAGAAGAAGATTGACGCAGGAGTTACTTGTTACTACAGCTGCACACGAAAACACCACTACTCCCAAAAGAGTTCCACAAGAGAAAAGAAGAAGACAATGCTAAGGATGCAATCATAAATTAAGAGAAACACATTCAAGCAAACAGGCAAGTAATGTGATGACAAAAGTAACAAGTTAGTGCAATGAATGTCCTGGACAACCAGGAATGTGTTTATCTTGCTCTAATAGCATTCATAAAAAATAATCTATTTTTCTGAAACTTGATTATTATTATTTTTTTAATAACTACGAAAAAATCTTTTATTTTCATGAAACTTTGTTTTTCTTTTGTTTAGTAACTAAGGACATAAATATTATTTAGTTTACATGTTTTTTGGTTTCAAATATCATTTACACTAATAAAATATTAAGAAGTTTTGATCGTTTAATCTAAATCTGTAAAAAATAGTAAGCTGTCTTGATACTTTAAAATATTCTTAACAGGAAACCTGATCGAAAAACGAATGATAATGGTAAGTTTTAAAATGTTTTTACTGTTAATAACTGATCTTAAAACTCGTATAATTTATATTATAAAACTGTAAAAATGTAAAAACTAATTACGTCACTACCGATCCCCGACGGTCGGTAACGCAACGTGTTCGCGTCAAGCCACCGGTCCCGGGGGACCGGTAACGCGCTGTTCTTTGGTTGGCATATTTTGGGAACGCAGTCAACTTGTTAATATAGTCCTATTCCAAGAGAAATAACCACAAAAATAGATAAGTCAAACTACCACTTCCAATGGTTTTATAATATTCGACGGAATTGTTCCTATAAGAACTACGTTTCACCCTTTGATACTGCCAAAAATTGCATATTTAAAGACTTGTATAGTTTATCTAACTTTAAACTTACCTGTTAAATATCCGGAAATAGGAGTACTAGAAATAAACAGATCGTGTTTTTGGTCCTTATATTCCGACCAAATGCTGCTCTTCTCCAAAATCGAAGTCACTTTCTCGCCGTACATCAGACTTCTAGTCATAGATTTAAGGGCTTTAACTATTTGTGCTTTTGTCATGGCTGGATTATCGATTAATTCTAGTCTAGCTTCTAATAACGTGAGTAAGAATTGGACAAATTCTACATCTAAGGCCTGTTTTATCAACTGGTCCTGATTACTGGAAAACAGCCTGTTGAGGGCCTCACAGGCAACGGCTACCATATCTTTTCGTACCTGCATGGCCTGCTTCAAAGGATGCATGCAGTCCGATTGAGCAATGGCGCTAACGCATATCTGAAATAAATTAATAAAGGGTTAAAGAACGAATGTGAGTTCTCTTCAACCGAAGATTAAATCAACCCATGCTGCATTAGGAATATCTGATTTTATATTAGTAATATTACGAAACAGATTATATATAGGAAACTCACTAGATCAAAGTAACTTTAAAAAAAATTTAAATTGTTTAATTTTGTGTTCCAATCGACATAAGTTTCTGAAATAGCATAAAGAAGTAAAATGAGGAAGAAGTTAAAATTATTAACCTTAATAACTACAATTGAGGCGGTGGCTAGAATGGCATATAGGCCTATGGGTCCTTCTTCCGAAAAACTCTTGATGAACACAGAATTTAACTCTTTAAGTTTTTCTTTGTCACTCTACTAATTTTTTTACGATACTACGGTTTTTTACGTTGGTACAACACTTTTTTAGTGAAGTGTTGTAGTAGGCACAGCTGAGAAAGATTTGTGTTTCTAAATCAACTCTGTTTTGGTGAATTTCTGACAATGTTATTGAGGTTATGTTATATTTGAAACTGTACGCGTATTTTAAAGCAATGGCTAGTCGTAAAACTATTTTAGACAGCGCGGTGTCAAAAGGTTCCAAAAAGAAAATTGTTCAGAAAGACCATTGGAAAGAAAACGTTGCAAAATCTAAGAGACAGTAGAGAGGAGTATGTGTCAAAATTTACGGCAAAAACTGTACAGAGTAAGGTATTTTCTGTTGTCCGTAAGTGTTGTGTAGAAAAATATTTTGCAAAAATTACTTCGCAAGATCAAAAACGTTTATTTGACTCTTTTTATGATAATGGTTCAAAAAAGAACAAAACACTCTTCTAGCAGATTGTATAACATTAGAGGAGCCTCCAGAAAGGTATAAAAACATAGAAAACCACAAAATTAGTTGACAGTATCACTGGAAATACAAGCTTAAAACTTCTGGTTGTGATGTGCAGGTGTGCGCGTAAGAATATTACAAAAAAAGTGCTTAAGAAAACTCCAATTGATGAAAAACGTTACGGAAACCAAGGAAAAATGTCAGACGTTGTTTATTCTATTGCAGTTTCAAAAGTTGTTTTAAGACACTACTGGGAATAATCTTACTATGAAATACAAGACCTATTTCAAATTTTTCAGAGAAACTAATTTTACGTTCAAGAAACCGAAAACTGACACATGTGATTATTGTCGTGAATATGAAATCAAACTAGAAAAGAACCAGAATGATGAATGCCGTGTTGATTACAATTTTCATAAAAAGAGGCTGGAGGCATATTCCAAGCTAAAAAATGATTACAGGAGAAAGGCAGCATAACAAAACAGGTCTATAAAAGACTTTTAAGGATGTATGTATTCAATATACACATGCATATTGATGGATCATCATATGTATATTCCTTCATAGAATCTCAATGTAAAAAGGGAGCAAGTAGTTTTGTTTTATTCATCTTTACCTGTATTCACAATAAATTAGCAGATTACAGCTGGAGGCGAAAATAAAAATCAGAGTTTGTTACGGTTTTGTTCTTGGATATCAAAACTACACAGAATCGAAGTGGCACATATTTATCCTGTTCGTGGACACTGATTTAGTCAGTGCAACAGAAATTTTGGGGTTATAAGACAGACCTTAAAAAGAGTTGAAGATGTCGAGGAACCCAAAGTCTACCTAGAAAAAATCGTATAGTTCAGACAAATTCCTCCTTTCTGCCTCAAACACGACTCCTCTATAATATATGACTGGGATGCAGCACTTCTTCCTTATTTTTTTAAGAAGCCTGTGAATGAAGATTGTGAGTTTAAAATACAACAGTATCGCGTGCTGAAGTATAAACCTTGTGGGACACTGGTTGCTTTTAAAACCTACTTTGAAATGTATACCCCTTTTAAATATGCAACAACGTTGCCACTTGACCTTACTCTTACACCTTTGCCTCGGGTTTCTATTATTCAGTCTAAAATAAAAGACGTGAGACTTGTTTCAGTAATTAGGAGAAGAAAGTAGAAACTTCTACAAACTTTTATTTCAAGAAAGCACACCGGCTGACAAGGACAATGAGAGTAGGGCTGATGACTCAGATGATGAGGAAATTTAGCATAAAAAATTTAATGTAGCGTGAACAAAATAAAAATTTTCTTGTTTTACAAAGGCCTTGATTATTATTGTAAACCTTTGTATACTATAATATATAACTGTAGTATACTATACAACAGTAAACAGTTATAGGCATTTCTTCTGCAGAAGACGTTTTAATCTGCCAAGTGCGTTCTCCAAGAAGGACTGATGATGAACTTGTTTTAATACTCATTTGAAAAGAAAAAAGGACATATTTTATAAAGGTGTTCTCTATTATTTTATCAATGGATCGAAAATTCTTAAAACTAAAACACTTAAACAATGCAAGTGTTGATTCGCCTTAGGCGAATCTTAGTTAAATCTTTGAATGCTTGTTTCTCAAAATACACTTTTAGCAGATAGGCATTTCTTCTAGCTACCGCCTCAATTGTGCAAAACACATAAACTTATTTCGGTACCGCTATTTCTCTCTCTTCGTTTTTCCTCAAGACTCTGTCTTTGCTTCTATGTATAAAAATCGATGCAGTTTTAGATAATTCGAAGATTTAGTCACATCTATTTTTAGGTTCGGTAACTGGATTTAAAGGACGAAGTGATTTTTTGGATATTGGCTTGTTACACTTCGATCAAAGAAAAAAAATGACTATCATAAACGAATGGAGAACCAAAAATTTGAAGATTGGTTTTTAAAAATTTTATTACCCAAACCTTGAACCAAATTTTGTCGTTGTTTTAGACAATTCATCCTACTATAGTCAACAATTGGAACCGTCACCAACAACTGCCTGGCAGAAAGCTGACATCATGAACTGGCTCTCACAAAGAAACATATCGTTCGATGATCGTCAAAAATCAATTATCATTTCTTAGAATTGAGTGCCTAGAATTTTGGTATTTTACTATAGTATGAACTCAAAAAGTGAACGGAGTAATGCAATTTATAGTATTTGTTGTGTAAACTTTAGTTCTAATTTGAATGAATGTGATCCAGACCTGATTTTTAATCAAATGTACGTGTTAGTGAATGTTGTTAAGCCTTTTTTCGTCAATAAGAAAGTCGAAAAAGAAAAACGCAGTCATCTTTCTAGTGATGCGAAGGAAACAATTTTAAATGTTTATTCTGGTGATTGTGTAAACAATTTTTTTTATAATTTTCTTGAAGAATTACTATTTCTTACTGATCTGTCGTTGGTGGAGCGATTTGTTTGGTTAATTCCGATAACGAACGAGACTTTAGCCTGCTAACTAGGCGTATTTCGACATCCCAAAGGTCCGTCGGCGGAGTTTCCTGCTCTTGCTGCACGCGGTTTTTACTGTCGGCGTACACACAATTCTTCTTAGAGGAACAGGCGGCTTCTAGCCGCACGAGATTGAGCAATAACAGGTCTGTGATACCCTTAGATGTTCTGGGCCGCACGCGCGCTACACTGAAGGAATCAGCGTGTCTTCTCTGGCCGAGCGGCCCGGGTAACCCGCTGAACCTCCTTCGTGCTAGGGATTATGGCTTGCAATTGTTCCCCATGAACGAGGAATTTCCAGTAAGCGCGAGTCATAAGCTCGCGTTGATTACGTCCCTGCCCTTTGTACACACCGCCCGTCGCTACTACCGATTGAATGATCGCTCGATCTGTGAACGATTTAGGAGTTATCATAGCTTTTCCCTTTAGAATTCATCTTGCAACGTATAATAAAGATGCTTTGTTAATAGTTAAAAATTAATAATTTGTAGTATAAACTGTCATAATTTCTTTTAAATCGAAAAAGATATATTGAATATTAACATAAAAACTACTTACCGTACTCATGGATAATGAGTTAAGTATACATATGGCAGATTTCGGTACAACTATTTGTCTAATGTTAGATCCCATTTGTCGACATAATCTAGGAATGTGTCCCATAGATGGTACCAGATCTAAGAGAGCCGGTTGTGATTGCAGCAGAGCACATAAGGCAGTTGTACATAGTTCTAAATATTCTACCTGAAAAATAAATTGTGACAATTGTGAATATTGCTCAAACATATTTTTCTTTTGAATTGTGAAATTTAATCCATTTATCGCTTAGGGTAAAATTAACCTAAATCTCGAAAATTTAGGGTAATTTTTCTGTTTGAGTTTTAATTTTTAATTTCTAATTTCTAATTTCTAATTTTTAATTTTTAATTTTTAATTTTTAATTTTTAATTTTTAATTTTTAATTTTTAATTTTTAATTTTTAATTTTTAATTTTTAATTTTTAATTTTTAATTTTTAATTTTTAATTTTTAATTTTTAATTTTTAATTTTTAATTTTTAATTTTTAATTTTTAATTTTTAATTTTTAATTTTTAATTTTTAATTTTTAATTTTTAATTTTTAATTTTTAATTTTTAATTTTAATATTTAATTTTTACTTAGCCTTGTGCCAGCTTGAATAGGTTCTTTGGTAAGATTTAATAATGTGCATTAACTGGGTAGCATATTTGTATAATCCCAATCAAATTTTACTTACATTAGGTTTGTCTTTACTCATAAGATTAAGGCAAGTTTCCATCAATTCCGTGAGGAATTCTTTCGGTTTTCTCAAATTCCACGACGGATTAGCGATAAATATTCTCAGATAAACACCTCCAACAACAACTTCGTTGGGCGTGGCGAGATTCGTGAGGCCGTTGGTATCGGGCATCTTCCACTGGATGGAAGGATTGCAGCTTTGTTCAGTCTGGTGCCTAAAACATAACAAAACCGTATGTGAGTGTCAAGTGTATACAGGATATTGAGTGAGACTTGTTTGGCTTACGTTAACAACAATAAAAAGAAACTAATATATGATAAAAAATGGGTAGGAAATTGATGGAGACTAATTTTAGGTTATTAAATATATTCGTCGCATTTCTCACCAAATACATATCTCTACAGTAGCAGTTTTTAGTTACGTTCGATTATGTCTTTTAAGTTGGTATGTCACACTGTTAAAATTTATATACTTTTTAGGTACAGTTATCGTCACTATTTCAAAACAAATCTTCAACTTATGATTATGTACGTAAACTGTAAACTTTCTATTTTAATAATACCTAGTCAAAATTTCCAAAGAAAGCAATTTTTTTTCATAACTGTACTTAAATGAATCCATGTCATAACTTACGTGGTAAAGTGCCTAAAAATTGGTATTGTATAATAACTTTTGAACTTAAATACAACTATCCAAAAACTTATATTTTAAGCAAATTGTCATTATCCATACTGCCGTAATTTTTAAATTACCTGTACCTAAAGATAAAATTACAATGAAAATCTACAAACTAGGAATTTTGTTGATGTTACCGTAATAAGTTGGCATTTTGATAGTAAGAAATTAGTTCGGCTATCACTTAATAGACTATTGTTTTGGACAGTTTGTTAGCAGAACCGATAGATACGCGACCCTGGCAGAAAATTAGCGTTCAGTGGGAACCTGGGAACTCTTATAAGTAAAGTACAATCAGTTTTGTGAACTGAGGAGTGCGGTACTTAAAAGTATATTCGAAGAAGCTTCCGAAGAAGAGTTAATCAGTAAGATGGAGACAAAGGATAAATGCAGTGTAATGCACTTTAAACTTAAGTACAAATATGATGACAAAACAGGTTCAGTAAGTTCAGAGTCATTAAGTGTAAATGTAAGCGCAAATTTAAATTACCTCCAATCGAGTTCAAAAATTCACATTAGAGAGCTCTTAAAGTTAATTTTGAGTAGAGTTTCTAGTAGTTCTTGTAATATTTCTGCTTTTTATGATATGATTGAGAGTCAACTTCGTTCACTTCAGACCTTAGACAAAACTGAGGACAAGTTTTCGGCGATATTGCATCCTCTGATTGAGTTATGTTTGCCACAAGATATGATTCGACTATGGCATCTTATGTTTCCGCGTCTATCTCTCATTATGTACCGTACATTTTCTTCCCAGGTAACGGAAGGCCTTCCCCTTCTTCTTCTTCTTTGTTGTGGTATATAATTTGCTTTCTTTGGCCATCTATCTTCATTCATTCGCTTTACGTGCCCATACCACACTAGTTGTCTCGTTTCAATTCTGTCTACACTGCACTATACAGTATTTATCATCCTTATAATATCTTCATTCCTGATATGATCTTTTTTGGACACACCATACCTATCCTTAGAAAATCCATTCTACTATTTCCATTCTTTTTCTTTTTTCGTCATCTGCCACACTTCTGCCCCATAAGTCATAATAGGCTCTACCAAGTTTCGATAGATTGTTAATTTCGTTTCTTGTCTAATATCTTTAATTTTTTGCAAGAATAAAGGTTGAACAAGAGCTGTCGGATGAAATAAATACAAAAAGAGGAGTGACACAGGGCTGTATATTGTCGCCTTTACTTTTTAACTTATATTCGAAGGAAACATTTAAGGAAGCCTTAATGGAGATAAACGAAGGTATTATTATGAATGGAGTAACCGTCAACAATATTAGATATGCCGACGATGCCTTAGTGCTTGCTAATTGCGGAGAAGACCTTCAAAATCTAATGAACAAAATAAAACAGATTTGTGATCAGTATGGATTAAAACTCAACGTTAAGAACACTAAATATATGATAGTTAGCAAACAAAATTATATACAGGATGACTGTATAAAAGTCGGAGATGCCACACTGGACAGAGTAGAGAAACTCGTGTATCTCGGCATTAATATCAATGAGAGCTGGGATCCAACCGCAGAAATTAAAAGCCGAATAGAACAAGCCCGAGCTGTCTTTGTAAAAATAAGAAACGTACTTTGCAGTCATTATCTTAGCATTGACCTTAGAGTTCGAATGACATCTTGCTACATCTTTCCTGTCCTGCTGTATGGAGTGGAAGCGTGGACTCTAACTGAGGCTATCCTTAAACGCTTGACGGCCTTTGAGATGTGGGTATACAGACGACTACTGAAAATAAGCTGGGTCGACAGAGTTAGAAATAAGGAGGTCCTTAGACGGCTGAACCAAACAACACAACTGGTCAATATAATAAAGAAACGCAAGCTGGAATACTTCGGTCACATTATGGGACACCCTGAAAAATATGATCTTTTACATCTGATCATTCAGGGAAAGATCCAAGGTAATCGTGGTCCTGGTAGAAGAAGAACATCATGGCTGAAAAATCTAAGGCAATGGTATGAAAAATCAACTACATCGTTATTTAGAGCTGCTGTCAATAAAGTCACGATAGCGAATATGGTAGCCAACATGATATCCAACGATCGATAACCGTCATGGAACTAGAAAAAGAATAATACAGAGTTTAGAATGTATACCGCTTTACTACTATTACTATTAATTGAATAAAAAATATTTGCGGCCACTTTTTGACTAGTAACCTATTATCAACGTATTCTCCTTATTTTCAAATGCATGTAAAAATGTGAGTTTGGTTCACTACTTATGAACGTAGAGGTCCTGCGGAGGGATTTTAGAGTATAGGGTTATAGGCCAAAATGTTTTTGGTTAGATCGATATACTTTAAACATGTAAAATTTCTGCTAAATTTTATTAAACTATAAATATGTTCACTTACTCTCTTCTAAATCTAGCTACCACTTTGCACACATTATCTTTGGCATCTTGATCCCAAATAAGTTCCGGGTGTTCGTGGGCACTCTCGAACATATTCACCGAAGCTTCGGGATTGTCCCGCATGGCGTCGGCGAATATCGGCGGCAGAAAAGCGCCTAAAGCCAATCTCACTTTCGGACCAACCAACTTATCCAAATTCATCCTCGCTAATAATTCTGCGCACGTCTGTCTTACCTGCGGATTTGTTGAGTTGCAAAACAGATCGAGGAGATAGATTACCTGAAGGAAACGTTTATTTTATTATGATTAATTATATAGTTGTTTTAATCAAGATTCAAATCAAAGAAAAAATGTTTATGTACCTATACAAAAACTTTAGAATATCCATATTGAGACTATAATTAATAAAATAGTTTCATGACAATACAAAAACTGTTTATTATTAAAATTGTTCCCAATGTAAAAAAAAATGAAATGAAAATATCTTGTTCCTGAATTAATCTTCTAGCGAAATAAGTCAAGAATGTAGAGAGAGAGAGAGAATTGGGAGAGGTGGGATTGAATACATTATTTTCTGAATAAACTTATAAATATCAAACAATACACTCCCGTAGTCATAGAAGTTTTTTTAGTTTTAGCTTACAGTCAGCCATATTTTATTAATGTTATATTACCACTATCCATCATCACTCTCTTTACCTTTATCAACGAAAAGTTGATAATTAAATACATACCAATATAAAACATTGACGAAACTACAGACTTTCAGTTGACAATCCCTAAAAATGAAACTGAGCAGATATCCAATGCAGAGGGTGTTGATATGACTAAAGTTCCTGATTATGGAAATATGGATGAAGGAAGAAAAAGGAAGAAGAATGCAGATCAAAGTGAATGGAAGCGAAATAAAAATGAAATCTACGAATGAATGGTAAATTTTAAATTGGGTTCACTAGAGACAAGATAATGTATTTTGGCATAATACCGAAAGAGATAAAAGAAAATTCTGACCCATCTGTTTCTATAAACTATGTAAAAAATCCTCCAAGAGAAACTGGGTTTTGAATATGTGCAGAATAGATAAAAACCACAGAATCAGCCTGTTTGATTCTTCAAAAAAAAAAATTCTGAACAAATTTTTTGACAAACTCACTAAACATCTGTCGCATTATGTACATTTTATATTATACAATTATCTTCAACAGAAATGTAATAAAAAGACCTTTAAAAGTTATGAAAAAAAAAGGAGAAAATAAAAACTAAACGTTAAAGGAATATAAATATGCTAAATCTTACCGCTCCTTTGTTTAATGCTTCCTTTACAATCTTGGTAGTTGCCATCAACGCATACAGAGCTTCTAAAGTCTGCGGTTGCGAATCTTGGAGAGTATAAATCACCAACAATAAATAACCTAATACTTCACTGGTAGCTATATCAGTAATGCAGTCGTTATTTCTCGTAACCAATGAAATAACGTTTAGTGCACCTTTCTGGATTGGAATATAGTTGACGTTGAGTAAACCGAAAAGTAATTTAAAATGGCCGATGCATTGTGTCTCAACGCCGACGTTGTTTCTTATCACATTTGTTAAAGCTTCAAGTGTCATCACAGTATATTTTAACCTATCTTCTATGGTAACAGAAAACGCTATGTTTACTAAATTTAGGAGGTCTGGGGATTGTTGTTTTACGTAATTTAGGAGCTCTATCACAAAGCCCTTGGGGTCCTAAAACAGAAATATAGTATAATATTTAATATTGTTTATACGGGATTAACACATTGACTGCCACAATGGTATGTAAAGAAATGATCCCTCTGGCTATTATGTTTTTTGTGCACAATTTGATATAAATTATAAATACTTCTAAGTTTTGGTCATATTATTCAGTAAACCGTACTTTTTTTGCATATTTTGAAGAGAAGCCACATGTGCTACTCGGAGCCATAAAACAAAGATATAGTTCTAATGACGGCGTGAAGCCAATGCGGCTGCTTATTGTTTTAACGGTACAACGTCGAATAATCAGACATGTAAACGAAATGGGGGGATAACTGTATACTTCGATAGTTGCAATGAATTTGTCAGTAGTAAACATATGTTTATCAGTGCAATATCGTTTGTTTACTGTATTGGGTGAATATGAGCTACGAGAAGAGGCTAAACCGATTATAAGCTTTATAGCATGTAATAAATTCACAATTTTGTATAAGTGGGAAAAGTATTATAATATTGTTGTATTACAGGAGCGCCAGGTCCCGATGAAATTCCTGTAGAGATATTAAAAATCCTGAATGATGAAAATATAGTGTCTAACTAAATTATTTAATAAAATATATATAAATCTATCTTTTTACCCTTACCCTAGAAAAATAATCCTAAATCTTGGGATGAGTACCGATTAAATAGCCTTATGAGCCACACTTTATACTACTCAAAGTTATTCAGCAGCGTATATATAAAAAATGTGAAGAACAATTGGACAATACACAGTTTGGATTTAGATGTGGAATGGGAACAAGAGAGGCACTGTGCGCAATGACGGTACTATTACAAAAACGCAGGGAATATAATAAAAACGTTTTCATATATTATATAGATTTCCAAAAAGCTTTTGATAGAGTCTAACATGGTAAACTCATACATGCATTGAAACACATACACCTAGATCCCAAGGATATTAATTTAATCAAAAATCTGTACTACAATCAAACAGCCAGCGGTCGTACGGGTGGAAGATAGTGAGACAAACCAGTTGGAAATTCAAAGAGGAGTCAGACAGGGATGTGTGCTGTCGCCACAATTATTTAATGTGTACTCCCAGCTAATATTTCAGGAGGCACTATGGGAAAGAACTGAAGGTGTAAGGATTTTAGGAAGCATCATTAATAACATAAGATTGTAGACGATACCGCAATCATGGCAGAGAATATAGACGATTTACAAACTCTCCTGGAAATCATGAACAGAGAAAGCAAAAAGATGGGACTAACAATGAATATAAATAAAACCAAATACATGGTGATCTCAAAAAACCCTGTTGACAACATACAACTGACATTAGAGGGTAAACCCCTAGAGAGAGTCGACAAATATAAATACCTCGGAGCAATTATAAACTCACAGTTACATCAAGAGCAGGAGATAAAGGTCAGAATAGAAATAGCTCGAAAAGGCTTTATAAAATACAAGTCAATGTTTACAAATAAGAAATTGAGTATGGCCATCTGATTGAGGTTCGTCGAATGTTATGTTTGGTCGCAACCACTATATGGGGTAGCCCAATCTATAAAAAAAATTAGAGGCATTCGAAATGTGGCTATATAGGCGTATTTTGAAGATTCCTTGGACTGCAAAAGTCTCAAATGAGGAAGTGTTAAGACGGGTTGGACATGGCAGAAAGCTTATGAACACAATTAAAATAAGAAAAACATCGCATCTGGGCCACATACTCCGAAACGATAAATACTCTCTGCTACAAGTCATCATGCAAGGTAGAGTAGAGGGAAGAAAAGACTTGGGAAGAAAGAAGAAATATTGGCTGAGGAACATCAGAGATTGGACTAACCTCAGTGTTGAATAGATATTTCACGTTGCAAAAGATCGAGAATATATTCCTGATAGCAGTGGTGAATCATAAGACAAAGAAATTTCTAGAAAAAAACGTCTAAAAGTTGCCACTTCAGAACCTCTAAATTTGGACAGAAATGAATTAGAAATCGAAGAGGAGAATGTGGGGGACACATTGATGGAAACAATTGAATATGTAATACAAAATAATACTACAGATCATGGACGTATAAATAAAGATCTTTATTTATACGTCCATGTTACAGATAGTGACAATGATGGCAGCGAACAAAATAAAAATGAGGCGCCTGATGGAGATCTGGTTTGGGATATTGTGACAGGTGGAAATTGAAACAGTTTGTTTTTACAGAGACAACGTGGATTATTATCCCCATATAACTGAATGTAAAGTAAACAGAAGGAAAAGGCACCAAAAGCAAGAATTCAAAATTGGCATAATACAGATGCAGGTGAGATGAAAAATTTTTTTGGTATTCTCTTTTGGATGGGTTTAGTTCAGTGTTCCACACTGGAGTGTTTCGCTTAAAATGCAGCGAGACAACCACCGGTGCGAGCGAAGTTTGGACGAAGTACACAGCAAAAAACCGACAAGTGGACGAAGAGACGTATCTTCTATTCGGGTATTTGTTTATGCTTGAGAATAAAGCAAATATTGACGAACGTACCCTCCACATTTCGTCTTATGCAGCCGAATACGGCGCATAATGAATAACACATAGTGAAGAGTGGTGCCGCCATAACAATTTTTTGACCACTCGGATCGAAATCCACCCTCAAAATTCGTAATCAGGAGCTAAAAATATATATAAAAAAAACTTGGATGGACCCACCAGAATTGAGAAGACAACGGTGGCCCTTAGCTGGCCCCTAGACTACTACAGAGTTATAATTTTTAGACATGCGCATAATGCATCTCCTGTTTGTTTAGTTTTCGAAATCTAAAATTAGAATATAGTATTTTATAAAAGCAAAAGCATACATACCTTAATCGGATACGTTGGTTGTTCGTTATAAATCTTGATGAATATGTCGCCAATTTTGTGTTCCCCATCATGAGCAGAATACTTGAATTCATTTGGATTATAGAAATCGCCTTGGTTTCGATTATTCCTTTGTGTCTCCAAAAAGTCCATAAGCTCAGCCCTCGTTCCATTATCCCAAATCAGGTACGGCGTCTCGGTATTACTATTAAGAATCTTCAATATCTATAAAAATATATACTGAATGAAATGATATTTAAAAATATATAAGGAAGAAGTAATATTAATTTTTATAGGATTTTTATAGGACAAATATCACTAGAATTGCATTACATGAAATGAGGTAAGTAGAAGTTACCGCAAAACATATTGTCTCTGCAAATGTAGTGAAGGCATTAAGTTGGAGATTTAAAGGAAGAAATAAATATTAAAAGTAATAATTTAAAATACTCTAACAAATACGAGAAGCATACATAGAGGTTATAGTAGAATGAAATTCCATGAAAATGAGGGTATTTACGAACACTAAGAAGCAAATAGATTCCAGCAAAAGGAGAGAATGAAACAAACCTGAACAGAAATATTAGATATTTTAAGAATAAATGGGAACCGGGAAGAAGCAACCAAGAGAAAATAAAGAAGTACTATGGTCTGTTTTTAAACCAGGAGGAGTAATTCAAATTTTCCGCGCCATAATGCTTGTTTGTAATTGGTCGAAGCGCAGGCAAGTTTACTTCACTAAATTAAGACATATTGACACTAATGACATTTGTGAAATTTTAAAATTAAAAATTTATATCGAAATTTTTTTGTATTTTCTGTGTTATTTCTTACATCTTTAGATGTTTCGTTTGCATTTATATAAAAAACAGTTCTTTTTAGAACTATTTAGCGACATATTAATGTTATTAAGATAACAATATAGATTCAATGCCAAGTACTAGTGGTAATTCTTCTTCTCCACCTTAAAAACGCCGAGTAGATTTGGATCATTTATCATCAAATGAGAAATAATGTACTATAAACATGTACAAACATGAAAATTGACAATTCTGGAATAAAAATAACAGCCACGGTAGTAAAAATAAAACACACAGCAGGTTAGTTTTACAGAATAGTTATTATTAAAATCAAGACTTACTAAAGTAATGTGCTAATTTTAGGTGTTGCGAATTCAACTATTTACAACAATAGAATTTAGAACAATTAAAGAATATAAGCAGACTGGAGCAGTAAAATGTTCTAAAAATATTGAAGGTCGACCTTATATTCTTGCAACATAGGATGAAAGAGTTAAAACATCTATACGACAGATAGTACACAGCTTTTTTTCAAGAATGAAATGCTCACTTTAGGTAAAATTGTGCCGTTCACAAAATATGTGTCGTTCGTTATTATATAAATTCTTGAAGCAAATCAATTTGAAGTAAGTACAAATATCGGTATGTAAATATGGGTTAGCTACAATTATATAGTAAAATTAACTAAAACATTTTATAGATTTCATTTTTATTATCAAGTATATTATTGTTACTATTAAATATTAAGTTTTAAGTTTTTATTACAACATTGTTGTTTAATTTTGGTTCAACAGATATACGAACATGGAAAGGGAAGAAAAGGAAAAAAAAGGATATTTTTACTTTACATATGCAGATTCATTGCAGCAAATATTACGTAGCATAACTATAGACTGTTTATCTTACTGTTTATAGGATGATTGATTTATTGTCTATATTATGAGTGTCTTACCATAGTTATTTTTAGGGGAAATTATTCAAAGAATAGTTTATACATTGGGCTGCTGACCAAAAACAAAACTTTCTTGCTCAAATATCTGAAATAGATTCAGTTTTTGCTGAAAAAATAAATCAAGAAATTCAAAATGGTGTAGTTGTTCATTAATCTCACCAAGACATAAATGAAGAGATTTTGGAAGACTAATAAAATTATTAAATTTTTATTTTTACATTCATTCCGAATATATATTATGCACAGAATATTATATAAATCGATTTCTGACTCTTTAAGTTGTTTTTGTAATAACTTGGACTTGGTGATATGCGATAATAGTGTTTAATGTAATATTTTTCTAGCTGATATATATATAATAAATAGAGTTTAGAGTGTTTATAAATTTATAAATGTATGATATCTATATCTAATTATCATAAGAAAAACGGCAACTATCTTTTAAATTTGTGTATACTTGTTAAGAAGCATTTTCATTTTGTTTTCATCACAATAAACATTAGTTGTGTTTTACTTTGATTGTACTGATACAGTTGGTTTTGTTCTTCCTGTTGTAGATCATCACAGATCTACAACAAAGAAAACTACAACATTATACTAGAATGTAACATAATAGATTGAATTAGTTGATTATCTCACAGAAATCCAGTATTTTTTAGTAAATTTTATTTATTGATAACAAATGGGACAAACTCACTATCAAAATTAAACAAGAAACCAGCATTAAAGAAATTGCAAGTACACACTTATTTATACAAATTTATTGTTTTGCATTTTAGTGATTCAAATAGATCCTTAAGATATTGATACATAAGTTAAATCTATCTAATGAGGTAAGTGATTACCATGCATGAAAAGTAGGACCACACCTATATTTGAACAATAATTTATTCTGTGATATGAAACATGAAAAAGTCAATTCTAAAGCAGTGTATGGGAAGGAATATGTAAAACAAACTGGCTGAAGCAATTCAGGAGATTGGAGTATTAAGCTTAAAAAATAATGATCAAAGTCAAAGTTAATTCTTCTGGTAAGAAAAAAAACCTAGATTCAAGAAATTAATCACACCAGAATAAGAATATGGTCTACGCAGTTTAAAAGAACAGTATTTCAGAAAACTTTGAACTCTCTCTAACTTTTTGATACATGCATTTGCATAGCTTTGTTGCATATAAGATCTAATTGCAAATTAAAAGACAAATTTCTGAGTAAAACCATACTTAGATCTGTAACATTATTGACTCTCTGGATCAAAATATTCTCTAAATTAAGTACCATCGACTCAAAAGATCTATAAAACTGGATCACCCGATATTTAAATATATATATACATGGGACCAAATGTGAAAAACGTCCTTTTTTATTGTAATAATTGTAATATATATTGGAAGTGCATTAAAAAATATATTATTAAAACATAAAGTTAGGTTAGAATAGACGTGTAAGGTTGTCCGATATTGATTACTCGATTACCGCAAGGCCGAGATATACAACAAAAAAAGAAGATGTATTTGGTGACTTTTCTAGTAACTTTCTTGGGTGTGAATCTGTCTTTTTGGTTTACTCCTCCTGGTTAAAAAAACAGAGTATAGCCAAAAAGGAGGCATCCAAAAGTCCAGATAATGACTGAGAATAATTATATCTATGTGCATTACATACAATAAACAGTAATTCCCTAGTCCATCTAATAAAACATTAATTATATCTTCTAAAAAATGCAAAACAACAAGATAAATATTATTTAAAACATTTGTCAGAAGTCTAGTAAGTGTAAACCCGACCTTGATAACTTGCATAAATAATGTGAAGTAGCAACCTATATGTGTGTAAAACCTTAAACATTTGAGATGATGCTATATCGGAGAATACTTAAGATCCCGTGGACTGAACGAGTCACAAATGAGGAGGTCCTCAGAAGAATGAATAAGAACCGAGAGGTACTGACCACCATCAATTATTCGGACATATTATGCGAAATAAATCCAGACAGGCTCTCCTTCAAGCCATCCTGCAACGAAAAATATTTGGAAAACGAGGTCCAGGAAGAAGAACATCTTGGTTAAAGAACCTCAGAATCTGGTTAAATACAACGTATGTGCAGCTTTTCCGTCAACATTCGTAACGGATAGGCACATCAAAAAGAAGAAGCAACCTTGTAATAAATATCATTGAATGGATCTATTATAAGTCGGGCAGACAAGCGAACGGGCTCAATCATTGTCAATCAGTTAAGCACATTTAATATGATTATCAAATAAGTATGTCATCATCCGGTTAGACTGTACATGTGATTACAGTGATTATAAACATAGCAACAGAGATGTAAAGACCTAAATTTTTACTTTATTACGTAGGAACAAAGGAACGGATGCAAAATCCGGTACTAGTTATCAAGTCGCCTGAATCAGATCAGATGAACTATAATATGGAACTTGGTTCAGAATGAAAAAAGGGAGAATAATTATATGCTAAGAAATATCGCACCCTCAGTGCAAGACTGCAGTAAGTCAGAATAAGTAGGTTTCAAGATAAAGACGATTTTGTTTATTTTCGTGCTAATATCGGTGAAATAAGACACAAGTTTTAAGAAAAATTAACATTTAATTATACTTTTGCATGCTTTTCAGCCTATATTACATTAATTGATATGAGGCTGAATGCTCGAATAAATGAACTTTGAAAAATTAAAGCAAATATCGAGCACAAGTTTAATCAAATCTTGCCCAAGTACTTTCGCTATCTACAGCATCTCAGGGGCATTTCCTGTCAAATTTTGGCTATCCAGCAAGCGTACAATGCAATACACATGAAAGTGGACATAAATAAAAAAAAAGTTATATTACGTTAACCAAAAATAGAAATTTAAATAAAATAATATTAATGCTAAAAAAAATATGAATTTCAAAGTTACTACACTTTTGCACGGAGAAAATTGTAAAAAGTGTAGACACATTTTCTGTTAGTTATTGTCCTCTTTTCGTATATCATCTTGGGCCAAAATATTTTTATAAAAACTATGGTGGGCTTCTGGTATCATACCCGAACGGCATAAGTATACCAAATCTTTATTTTAGGCCATTTGAATTTTTGGCTGTTCTTTGTAGGCAGGTTTAAGTAGCACTTCTCGTATATTATGTGTAGTCCGTGATGATTTTTTTAGATTAAAAAAATTCCACAGTTGTATAGTGTTTATAAAGTCAGTTGAAACACCAAAAAAACTGGTTGCCGACAAACATTAAAAGAATAATATCATATTACCAGACATGGGCGCATCATTTATTTTTATAATCAAATATAGATTAATGTAGAACAGAAAAAGGACAATTTTAATTTATTTAAAGCTGCCGTAAAGTACATAAGTGTATAAAAAATTGTTTAACATGTCATATTAAGCAACAAAAATAATTTATAATTAAATGGCAGTAGGCCATATTGACAGTATAATGATTTAATTATACTTCGTAAAATAATAAACATTTTAGCTGTACAGCACTGGCATGAATCAACAGCGTTTCTTATCTTAGCCGACTGGAAGCGAACCTCCAAGTAGCGTGTTAAATATTGGTGATTTTGAATAACATATCAATGTCCAATATTTATTTGTTGCGATGTATCTTTCATTCCCTCTTTCTTCCATCTATTTCCTACGAAGTACGGGGATTGTTCAAATACGTTTGAAACATTGACGCGTGTTATTTTTACTTTAACTTGATTACCGGTAAATGTAATATTTAACTGCCCTTATAAATCGAGTCGGAGAGAAATGTTTCAACAGAAATGTTTCGACTATCTTTTCTACATTGCAGAATTTTGATATCTGTCCACTTCACTTTTTCTTTGTTTTGATCAATTTTATAGTTGTTTCCCAACAGAAAGGAAATATGTTTAAAATCAATGAAGTCCTTTGTTTCCATTTCTCGGACTATGTAATTAGAACCACTTTTTTTGCTACATCTCACTACAGTTGTCCATTCAGTAGGAACATAAATTGGACTGCTTTTTTCTTTTGACGCTTTATTAATGAGTGCATGTTGTCATCAGCGTTTTGTGTGTGGCCTGTTTTAAAAACTTGTGGGTAATCGATTCTAAATGATCCACATTAGTAACAACATACAAACACATAGATGTCACACAAATGTCACATAAAGGAAATAAAACTTACATGAATAGATTGGTCTCGTAAATCTTTGTTTATTGTCTCGACCGGTAATGGATTACGTAGACATGCTGTATATTAAAATTAAACACCACATATATAGATATTAAAATAACAAATATCCTACTTTTTTCGTGCCTTTCATTGTTTGTTATCGTAATCATTGCAAATGTTCCGTGCAAAACTGTTATAACTCTGTTACATTAGAATTACAACAGTTTTACACGGAACTTATGTACAAAAATTCAAAATAGTTAAACTGTTGTTGTTTTAATATTTAGCCGGTTAAGCATTTGAAAGTTACTAAAGCTTTACAGGGGATAGATATGCATGTTTACAATCGAATTCCATGATTCCTTCATTTTCATAAAATTTTGAGTTACTGCAGTCTTGCACTGAGGGTGCGATATAATTAAAAACTAGTAGGTAGTACGGTCACAACAGACCCCAAAATTGGATAAAATGTCAACGCACTAGTCAACTGTAAACCTACAGATATTGTCACACTGAATAGGTTATTATATAGGTATAGAAGTAATACAAAATGAATATTACATACCTCTTCTGGTTTTTCATCTCCAAGTTGTTCGCTCAGATAGCCGGTCAATAGCTCTTTTAAAATACCCCTTGTAAGTGAATTCGGCGGTGGTTTATCATCACCTTGTACGTATCCTCCTAAAGCTGCACAAGCTTGCACCGCCTTCTTTGCAAGCATATTACTGACCTCTTGTTTGTTCGCTTCTTCACTCTTTTCTACACCGCCCTCGTCTAATGTGAAATCGTAGTTGAACATATACAATAGCAGATGCCACAAGGCGCCAGATTTGAGCAATTCCATTTGCAGTATCGAATCCATGGAAAGTGCAGTAACACATTCTGTTGCAACGGAACAAAGTTTGGTCAAGTGCTAAAATAGAGATCATAATATCAAAATCTTAAACTAAGATCTTTAATTATCAATATTTAGTTATTGTTTACAGTTCACGAAAGGTCTTGTGAGCGTAGGTCATAAAGATACATCTAAAATACTTCATGTCTAAAGTGCTTGACGATATATATCTATTCTGCTTCCCCTCTCCAGTCCAAGTCACTTAAGGCTCTCTCAACCTTTTTTATCCATCTTGCCCTCACCCATTGAAACATAAGATCTTTACTTTAATTACAATAAGTCCAATTGCTGGCGCACGGTGCGTTTACTATTCTTTGTTTCACGTTAAGAAAATAACATTACGCTTATGGAGATCAGTGTTGCCAAAACTCTCAGACACTCTCTTTTGCACGGATGTCCAAGATATTCCCTTTGCTTAATTTTTGAATTTTCATTTTCAATTAATATTTAACTGTAAAGTCAGAATAACTACTAAATAAAAGTCTTATTATCATTATGTAGTCAGAGACGACATAAAATAGCTGACATACGCACATCGTATTATTTTAAGTTGCAATTAGTAATTAGATATACGCATTCCAAGCGGTCAATATTTTCTACTGATTTATATGATTCATGGCATATCGTATTCTCACCGAAAAACAAATAAACTGTCGTTACTATAATTAAAATAAGATAAAATAAAATTATCTTTTGTAAATACTATTTATCTAATTAAAATCATTTTCCCTACTTTTCATCTCTTGTTTCGAATGGGCACTTTTGGTCAATTACGTTAAAAAACATTAATTTAATTCATGTTTGTGGAAACGAAAATACAAATTATACAAACCTAAATTGTGCTTGTGTGTGTCGTGGCAACGCCGTGTTGCTATCGTCCATAAGAAATACATGGCCCTATCTTCGCAATGTTATTTTCTAAACGTGAAACGTAGTATAAAATCTTTCAGAAGACCTCTCGTATGATAAAATAAATTGTTTACCTTAAAGTATAGAAGCCTACATAGATCATGTACTAGTTGCTTCAGTTCAACCATTTTTTCCCTACAGGCTGGGAACTGAGCCGCCACGGTAAAGCATCTTGTTATATGTGTGCAAACTTGAACGGGTACTTCGTCAGGCTTTGAAGAATTGTTGAGAACATCAACGCATCTAGTATATGCTTCTAATAATACCTAAAACAAAATAATAGTTATTTCTTATTGTAATTTTGTACTTGGCAACACTGGTTCACAATGTTAGTAGTGATGCTGGTTGTCAACTGCCACTTGTAATCTTATTTAATAATATAGCAACTGGGAAATAAACTCTAAGGATAATTGCTTTGACTGCCCTCAATTCAAAGGTTTTTAAACACAATTAAATTTGCACCTTGTATTCACCTTCAATAAGTATTTACAATTATCAAAATCTTACCTCTAAACCATTTTCACGTCGCAGTTCTTCAGCATTTAGAGCAGAACAGTGCACCGTGTGATATGCCAGTTCACAAGCAGCGGTAAGAAGAGGAGCATTCTTGGAAAATAATTGATCATCTGCAGTTTCTATTTTAATTGTTTTAATTAATTGAGGATAGCCAGCATACTTGTATGGTTGCAAATCTACAATGTAAGAAAATATTTATTAAAGTGAGTTACAGTCATGGATAGACTGATGTTAATTACACAAAAGTATATTCATGATGAGATGCGCGAAATGACGTATTTTCGACTAGACTGTCGAAATAATGGGAAACTAGATACTCATTCAGCGGAGTATCTTCGAAATGTTGGTTAGTGTTATTTTCAATTCTAACAAATATGCACCCGTCTGTTTCATTGCCACAAACTTACAGAATGGTTATTCAGGAATATCACTTTTGTTTTCTTACCTTCAGAATATCTTCGGAACAAAATACTTTGAGTTTGTAATACCAGCACAATATTATTTGGATTGGGCCCATTACCTGTCCAACTAGTTCGACTACACAAAAATTCATAAGCTTCGTTCACTTTTTCAAACATTTCCTAAAAATATAAAGTAAATATTAATAAATGGAGATCATTTAGTCTTTTCTAGGGCAACAAAAACGACAAAATATTGCAACTCTGTAAACGGCAGGTAGTCCTATCTTCTTGCATAAAAATCTGACTACGTCCTCTTACTAATTACTTAATGCAATGAAATGGCAGAAAGTCCAAATGCCTGAAAGTGACAGAAAAAAGTTTGGGGAAATATAAATATGGACTCTGGCTTGTTACTATTTATTTAATTGTTATATAATATATTATTTTAATTGATTCAGTCTTATTTTAATCATAAACTACAATATTAGTATTGTTGATGACCACGTGCGCTCAGTTTCATAGTAACTTCCAGTAGATGTTATACCCACTTTAGTAATAACGTGATATAAGAAGTATTCACTTCTGTCGGCATCCCCAAGTGAGACTTTTTTATTTTTATATTAAGGTATACATCCAACTACCAGAAATTTTTCCTTAATGAATGAATTAACAGAGAATTGTATTAAATTGGCTGCACATAATTTGTAAGTATCTTTAGAAATGACTATACTTACTCTTCCTTCTGGATTTTTATCAGGATGATACTGCTGAGCCAACTTGTAATACGCCTTCCTTACAGTAGCCTCATCGTGATGATTGTCATTAAGCCCAAGAGTTGTATACGCATCATGTAATGTCATTAACGGCGGTTTCTTTTCTACCTCCGATCTCCAAGCTTCCAGCACGTCCTTCAGCAATCGAACCTAGAATGTTTGCAATATATAATCGAGTCGTGGGGAAGTTGCGCCAACGTCTTCAATAATTAAAGAACAGAAACTCTAAATTTAAAACAACTTGTACTTACTGCATTTGGAATAGGCCAATCAGGGAATTTGTGAGTGTCACACAGATGGCGTAGATAAAATATGTTACAAAACAGTTCGTGTTCTAGCTGTGGATATCTAACAGCGGGTATGGGAATGTAGTGATATCGGACCATAGTATGACTACGTAAACGAGGGGTAAAATCTGCAATGTGAGCTGCCACTTTTTCTATCAGCATCCGCCTAAAGTATAAAAAAATGGATATTGGTAGGTATAATACAACGTTACAAATGTTACATGTATGTTATTTTTCTTCTAAAAATAATTGGCGCCCAACGTGGGGTTCAGCTTCATTTGTATCTATATAACAGCGTTTAAATTGACCTGCCACCTTTTAACCGATGTTTCCGAAGAAGTAAAATCCGACTAATACTTACGAAAAGTTTCTTTATTCAACGGCATTTTTTCCTATCGGGAATCAATGCGGTCCCCATAGTGTCAAGAGAGTAACGTAAGCTAATGTAATTTTTAAAACTAATGTCGCGATTGTGCTCAAATTTTGATTTTTGAAGATTAATACTGTCTCTTAAATCATATAAATTGTTTATTAGTGACGTCATCTACATATCAGCCCGTAATTTAAGTAATGTGATATATTTAACGCTCTATTATAAGAAATTTACTTATTTTTGCATCAAAACATCTTTAACATTAACTTCATACGTAATTTGATCGACGTTTCCTACATTTAACCTACCTCATTTCAGAATTCCAAATTGCTTCTGGTGTATCAAACTCCCCTAGGTAGATTTGGGCAAATCTTTCAGCCTCATAATTTTCTAAATAATGTATCATTGCTTCAGGAAGAAGCCTTCCTAAAATACTCTTCTGTATGATCGGTGATGCTTCCTAAAAAAATTATGGTTAAAGAAGAAAACATAATATAAAAATCAAAGCAGCTGCAAAAAGTGACTGTTACATAAGTTTACAAATCGAAATAATCATTTTAATGAACGAAAAAAAATAGTCGATAGGATGAGCATGAAGGTCACTTAGATCTTAGTAGTCTACTAGTGGGTCAGAAAAACACAAAGTTTAACGTAGTAGTTTAAAATCTAAAATGGATCTGCGACTTAGATTAGAATACGTGGATCGGATTGGTAGATAGACAAGCAGTACGATAAGAGATCGGAAGTTATGACACGGTGACAGAAGGCGTTGAAATGTTAGGAAACCGCAAATAAACAAAAAAATGTAGTATTACATATATTTAACAATCCGTAACAAAATTGCTCAAGCTACCAATAATGCACATTTTTTTATTAATATTTTGGTTAGAATTAAGCAAAAAACAATCAATTACCTCTTCAGTTTTAAACGCTTGCTTCAAATGTGTTAGTTTTAAAAACCTCGCAACAGGCAACACATTACTACCCGTATACATCATAATAAAGTAAAACACACCGGAAGTGTATAGTTTGGACATTTCTGGATTGTCTGTCATTACTTCGCACAAAAGAGTAGCCACCTTTTCAACCAAGATAGGATCAAAAGTAAGGAGTAACTGTACGATATTTGGCAAGGTTGCCTGATCCGACAACAGTCTTTTTACTTTAGGTAAAGGTCTTATCACAGCGTCGTCTGCGTCTCGGCTTGGGAAATACTGACACATTCTGAAATAAATAAAATATTACACCTAATTGCAATAAAACAAATGAGACAATATTAAAAATATCTATACTACGTTCCACGTTTAGAAAATAACATTGCGGAGATAGGGCCATGTATTTCTTATGGACGATAGCAACGCGGCGTTGTCACGACACACACAAGCACAATTTAGGGTTGTATTATTTGTATTTTCATTTCCAAAAACATGAATTAAATTAATGTTTTTTAACGTAATTGACCAAAAGTGCCCATTCGAAACAAGAGATGAAAAGTAGGGAAAATGATTTTAATTAGATAAATAGGATTTACAAAAGATAATTTTATTTTATCTTATTTTAATTATAGTAACGACAGTTTATTTGTTTTTCGGTCAGAATACGATATGCCATGAATCATAGAAATCAGTAGAAAATATTGACCGCTTGGAATGCGTATATATCTAATTACTAATTGCAACTTAGAATAATATGATGTGCGTATGTCAGCTATTTTATGTCGTTCTCTGACTACATAATGATACTAAGGCTTTTATTTAGTAGTTATTCTGATTTTACAGTTAAATGTTAATTGAAAATGAAAATTCAAAAATTAAGCAAAGGTAATATCTTGGACATCCGTGCAAAAGAGAGTGTCTGAGAGTTTTGGCAACACTGATCTCCATAAGCGTAATGTTATTTTCTTAACTTGAAACAAAGAATACCTAAATTTCCTAGCATACATGTATCTAATATATTTTCCGTACAATCAAAACAAAAAGCAATATTTCAAAATGCAATTAAACTTTTCTGATTCAGATAGGTAGTACAATAGTTGGCATTTTATCTTTCATTTCAAAGCGGCTCAACTAACATTTCACTGTATACCAAGAGATGGCGCGAGTTGTACAGTTAGGTTACATAAACATTTCATATGATTTAGTTATGAAAATCTGTGCAAATGACAGTTGGGCCAGTGCGCAGTATGATATTTTAGACATTCTCATTCTTGTCTTGTGTGTTTGTATCACTTTTGTCTAGCGTTCATTCGTTTTTACAGTACTATCAGTCTCTTATACGGTTAATGTTTGGGCAATCTTATGAAACCTAAACAAGGTTTCTTATTTTTTTTTTGAAGATTATAACCTTAAAATTATAAACCTAAAATGAAGAAAGCAGGCTCGTTTTCTAAGCGATATTGCAAAAACTAGAGGTGAATCTTTAACTTTAAGACAATTAATTACTTGAATTAATTAATAGAGAATACTTTTGTTATAGTTTGGAAAGGCCGTTGTCAGATGCATCTAGTACTCGTAAATCCAGCGAATTTGAAACAGATTGTGGCTCTGACTTCCATCCACCATCTGATGATGAGTCTTCTACAACTAGGGAAAGCTTCAAAGAAGATGGCTTGTGTAACCTGGATTAAGTAGGGATAAAAATCGTAAGAAAAATAAGTCAATTTGGAAAAGATGTAAGTCTAAGTTGGAAAGAAATTCAGGAAAATCATATTTCAATTCTCGTGGCAGAATTGTATCTGAGAAACAATTATTTCATGGAGTTTGTATCTGTCGACGAAAATGTTATTTGTTGTTATCTCTTGAAGAAATATTTTCCATAAATAAGTTCCTACAACTTATCTGATTTTAATTTACAAACTGCTTCCATTAATATACAAGTAAATGTTGTTAATACAGGGCAAGATACAGCAGATCAAAATCATAATAAACGTTCTAAGACACGAATTTATACACTATCGAAAGAATCAGGTGATATGGTAACTGTTTGCAAATCATTTTTCAAAAAAGCTCTACAAGTTTCAGATGGAAGGCTTACCAGGTCTTTAATAAACAAATCAAGAGATGGCGAATTAATCACTCCGCCACTGGATATAAGAGGCAATCACCCCCCTAAGAATAAGAAGAGGAAAACTGTTCTGCACTATCTTTACACTGGACTCTTGAGAGGATGCTGAATTCTATCATGGCCTTGTACAGTATTATATATGGAGTATTATATATTAGGAATTATATATTATTATTATTATTATATTAGGAAAGTTTATTTAATAATATAAGAGACTGAATTTCGTTAAATAATAGAACTTAACATTTTAAATCGTTTTCTTCTTCTTAGTCGTTAACCTGATGCAGGTATCGTGATATCATGAAGCTGTTAGGTAATTTTTCCAATGTTCCTCCACGTTTTTCTATCTTCTGCCAATCTAGCACATTCTGACAATGGAGCGCCAATGGTAGCAACAATATGGTCCGTGTATCGTGTAGATCTACCTCTACTTCTTTTGCCTTCTACTTTTCCCTGGATGGTAAGTTTCTCAAGACCATTTCTTCGAAGCACATGTCCAAAATAGCTTATGTTCTGTTCTGTTATTTGTGTTCTTAGTCTTTTCTTTATGTTTAGCTGGACCAGTATGGATTCATTTGTTCTTCGGGCCACCCATAGTATTCTCAGCATTCGTCTCCAGCAGTACATCTCAAATACATCTATGTTCTTTTTGTCTTTCTCAGTAAGGGTCCAGCATTCCGATGCATAAGTAAAAACTGGAAAAACTAGACTTCTTACTAGTCTCATTTTTGTATCGGTAGTAATTTCATGGCTTTTCCAAATTTTTGTTAATTTTGCCATAGCGCTTTTTGCGATTGCTGACCGCCGCTTTATTTCTTCAGTACAGCCTCCTTTGTTGGTTATTAATGAGCCCAGATACACAAATTTATCTACAACAGCGATATTGTTTATCCTAACCAGATGATTTTGATTGTTGTTAGCTCTGTCAATTATCATGATTCTCGTTTTATCCCTACTTATTTTAAGTCCATCGTTAAGCTTACGTCTTCTATCCGTTGTAGCAGGTGAATCAATTCAGTTTCAGAACTAGCGAGGATAGTAGTATCATCTGCATATCTCAAGTTGCAAATCTTCTTCCCGCCAATGGTGATGCCACCGTTCCAGTCCTCAGTAGCTTTCCGCATTATCCATTCACATTAGATGTTAAATAAAATTGGGCTTAGTATGCAGCCTTGTCTCACGCCCTTTGTGGCCCTGAAACTGTCAGTTAGTTCCCCATTTATTCTAACTCTGGCATAATTGTTATTGTACAGGCTTTTAATTAGCAGTATCAGATGATTAGGGACTCCCATTTCAGACAAAACCTGCCACATTTTACTCCAGTTGACCAAATCGAAAGCTTTACTATAATCTATGAAGCACAAATATGTTGTGATGTTGAATTCTCTGGATTTTTCTACAATCTGCCGTACGTTTAAAATTTGTTCTCTAGTACCACGTCCTGGGACGAAACCTGCTTGTTCCTCCGCAATGTTAGGTAGTAAAAAGGGCTTTATCCTCTCGAGAATTATGTGTAAGAGTATCTTACTCCAATGCGCAATTAGAGCAATTGTGCGATAGTTGCTACATAAATCTTTCGCTCCCTTTTTATGTATGGGAATATATGGTGATTGTGTCCAGTCCTCAGGCCATTTACCTGTCCCCCACACTCTTTGACAAATTTGACGTATTATATCCACTCCAACGTCATCTAGGGCCCAAATCATTTCAATGGGTATGTTATCTGGACCGGCAGCTTTTTGACTTTTTTGCCTCATAATTGCTGCTTCAACTTCACTTTTGAGTACGTCAGGTTCTGTCGCAAAACTGGCATCTTCTTGTTGTGATGGGGCGTCTGTGCTTTCCTCCATCATCAGTTGTCCACAGTATTCTTTCCATCTGTGTAAAATATCTTTTTTAGAAGTGAGTAGAGTTCCGTTATCATCTTTGATAGCAGGGTAGTTTGGTGTAAAGGAACGTGTTATCTGCTTTATTTTTTTAAACATGTCTCTGGTCTCAGTTTTGGTTTTATGCCCTTCTATTTCCATGCAGATTTTGTTCAAGTGTGTGTTCTTGTCCGTTTTGCAGAGTCGTTTTATTTGACCGTTCAGCGCTTTATAGGCCTCTTTATCACTTTCACTGTTCAGTCCTGTGGCTTTTAAGCACGTGTAAATTAAGCACATTAAAATGCATGTTTCAATACTTCTTAGTAAATATTTAACGTTAATTAATATTTTTGTACAGTCTCTATGTTAGACATGTTTAAATCGAAATGGATTAACTAAACAATAAACTTTGTATTGTTTCCACATATTTAACTAAAATATCTCATTTGATTGATGTTTTTTTTTTATTTTCAACACAATTAAATTTTTACTTTCTTAGTGACAACGTGAAAGAGTAGATAAAATACGAAGCAATTATGTATTGCGGATACTTACTTAATTAAAATATTTAATATATACGTCGCCAGCTCGCTTTCGTTTAGTACGGGCGAGCCTTTAGCTAAAAGGTACCATTTCAATTGAGGTAGCTGAGATAGGGGTCGCCATCCGGTTATGCCCATTGCCCAACATCGAGTTTTGTGATTAATTTTTCCTTTCTCGTACAAGTCTTTCATCTAAAATATAAATATATTTCAGTTAAATAACATAACACCGAGGAACGAGGTGAGTACCTTTTTAACTATATTCTAGATAAGGGTGCATATTGAATAATAAACTACTTTTATCAACAAGAAAAGTGGGACTTTATTGATATAACTATAAGAAATGAACAAACAAGAAACAAAATTCTTAACTGGCATCCACATGTTTGCGAAATTAAAAAGTTTTATGTTGGTCTTATCAAAAAGGTATGTAAATAAATATTTTAACTTAACACAGATGGTTAATATATAAAAACTGGATAAATTCTCCCGTGAAAACCTATGAAAATTCTATGAAAACTGAAGAGTTAAAAATCTGGTAATTAAGAATAAGATTTCTTGATAATAACAAAAGATATAACCAGTAATTTTATTCCAGTCTTAATTCCTTCGCCGTAGCTAAACGCTCGTGAAATAAAGAAAATTTGGTCCTTTGAGCCGGAATTATCCAGAAGATATGGGATATTAATTCAGAGATTATCAAAATGAAATCCTTTGGATTCCACCGAGTCCAATAATAGTTCAATATCGATAAAAAAAACGAAATTCTTGATCAATAAAATATGCGCCACGGAGGTCATACAGAAAAGCAGATTAATTATATTGTGATATTATGCTATTTAGCTACTTTTGAACGAAAAAATATCAATTAGACTCACCTCACTAAACGAAACGGGTCCTTCCCTCCCTTTATCACGATTGTAATACCATTCTTTTTCTTCGGCAATTTTCATACCAGGACCGGCTTCGATGACATTGGTTTGAGTCGGTATCATGGCTCTTGACGTATGTAAATGTGCTAATGTCATTAGGTCCACTAAAATTTGAACGCCTCCTACATCGAGAATATCTCTGACGTTTCTGTGATGTAATATTAACTTTTCAATAAACATTATTAATCTATCCCTCTCTAAACGATCGACACACTGAAAAACAAGTCAAATACATAAATCTGAAAGTGATAAAATAAATAAAAAGAATCGGTATTTAATACAACAAAAACTATTGTACTTTAGGAGATTTCTCTTCGATGGCGAATTAGGTGAACTACAAATCCAAGTTTACCTAATTTAATATCAAAGAGAAGTCTCCTGACTTCTCGTTGCTTCAAATAGAGGTCGCTACTAGCTTAGTCAGGCATGTTGTATTACTATAATTTCTATATAAGTTGGGAACATTTCGTTTCAGTTCAAGCACCACCATTGCCCTTCACGTATTTCGTAGTATTCACCTCTCATCAGGAGCACTTGTGGTGCTTGAATTCAAAAGAAATACAATCGACTACTTTCAAATATATAATAAAAAACTAATTAATGCTGTATGAGAGATACTTACCCTTTCCAACATCCCTACGATATACTTAGTATCACTGAACGGTCCAATATCTTCAAAATATCTACCGTAAACTATCGACATGGCTTGGAGACATAAACATTTCATTTCAACTTTATTAGTTAACAAAAACCTATGATATAAGTCATTAAAAAATTCATATCTGAAATAAAAGAGATATCCGTTTTAAAAGAATCCATTTTAGCAGCATTGTTATAAAGTACATAAAATAAATCTCCTATTTATTGACCTCTATCATTTTCTATAAATTATGAAGTTATAATGTTAACTGTCCTCCCGTTCATCCATCCCTGTGATAACTTTTGTTTCCCCTGTCTTAGACCATTATTAATGTCAAAGAACGTAGAGATTTCTCTTTCAATTCTCACTCTTGAGCTTACGTTTTGCAATGTTAGTTGGGTCAACTTAACTAACTTAGATGGAATCCCAAAGTCTATTATTGCATTATATAATTCAGTTCTTTTCACACTCTCATAGGCTGCTGTGAAGTCGACGAAGAGATGGTGTGTATCCATGATACTATGAACTAAAGATAAACCCACGCGCACGCCATCAGTCTATCTCTTTTGCACGTGTGACGTCACTTGGCGACAAATGTCACCAGAAATGTTCTGTTTTGCATGGAGTTTCGTCAGATTTAGTATTGTTTTATCGTTTATCTAGTACGTTGACAAATAAATGTGTGCACTTTTAGATAAAATATATTTCAGAATATTAAATTAAGATAAACTTTTTTCATTAAGTGACATCATGCGCATCGAAGTACAAAATTCGATTGCGAAGTGGTTTTATCTTGGAAGTCATAGTATCATGGCGTGTATCTATGTTATATTCTAGTGACTTTTCTAGAATCTGCCTAGGTGCTTGAATTTGATATGTAGTTGACTTTCCAGTAGTAAATCTGCATTGATATTGACCAATATCCTTTGTAAAATGTTTTCAAAGTCTTTCAAACAATACATTGACGAAGATTTTATATGCAGATGCTAACAGAGTAATGCCTCTATAGTTCTTACACTCCAGTTGATCACCCTTTTGATGCAACGATCATATATTTCCTTTAGTCATTCTTCTGGTACCAATCTGGTCAATTCATTCTGCCATATAAGGACTATTAGTTTATGGATTGCTGCAAAAAGTTCATCACCACCTTTTTTATACATTTCCGAACAGATTTCGTCGGTTCTTGGGGCTTTATTGTCTGAATTTTAGGATAGCATTTGACACTTCTTATCATGTTTACTGTGTAACTGACGTTGTAGATTTTGTTGATTGTCTATGGTAAAACATCCTTCAATATCGTTTATATTTAGATGTTCGCTGAAATGTTGTACCCATCTGTTAAGAACTGAGTTTTTATCATGTAGAATTTCACCGTTAGTGTCTACAAATTTTTAATCGTGGCTTAAATTCTCGATGGCTATTATTGAAGGATTTGTAGGATTTTCTCGTATTCCCTCTTCTTACGTCGATGGATACGTTTTTCCTCTCTTCTAAGACGTCTAGAAAAATTTCTTTTTTTCTTGGTGTACCATCTGCGTGGATGGTTTTTTGATATACTGCGTTCTTTCTATTTGTGGCCATTTCGCACTGATGATCAAACCAATCATTTCTTTTTTCTGACTTGGTTTTGCCCAATATTTTAACACTATAACTCCATATCCCGTATATTTGCCCATAGTTGGTTAATGTCTTCTTCTTCTTCTAAGTTTTCTGTCCTTATTTGATCTTCTATTTGTTGTCTGTATACATTTGCAATACCATGATCTTTTAGTTTATTAATGTAAAGCAAGTGTTATCATATGACAAAATAAATAGCGGCACTTGCACTGTAAATCTTAAACGGCTTCTTATAGTTGTAGTTAACTAAATAACAAAGGTAAAAGAACCAACTTAATGGGTGAATATTACAAGATTCCAATTATCTCCTCCACGGATTTCATATAAGCGTTTACTTGAAATTAACATATATACCAAGTTTGGTTAAATTGCTTAAATAGGTTTCGAGATTTTAAGTTTTTCGCAAGAAGAGACGGACGCTGGACAAGCAGACAAACGGATGACATTTATAAATTATACCAAGATTTTAAAGTACTAAATATATTTTGAACAGTTTAATTATATTATATTAAAGTAATTCAATCATATTTAAGATGGCGCCACCTGTTAGCAGATCTGCAAAACACCGAACGACCTTTTTTGCCGACAGACAGGCGCCACTTGTAAATTATATTAAGGGGACAGTCTCATGCGAAACTTTCAAAAAATCAATTTTATTTTTTTTTTATAAATCGCTTCCATTTACATTCAAAAACTCCCTCCTAAAATTTTAAAAAGAAATTCCCACTAGAATATAAGTTATAGTTATTTTATTAACATCTACGCACGTATGAAAACCGGTTTCTCTCCGCGCGGCGAGCGCGAGGCTCCAGCTGTTCTTGCTTTTGTATATATGTTATATATACGTTGGGTATGTATTAGTGATTCATTTTTATATAGTATGTATATCTGTATAACGTTTGGCAGTTACTATACACATTTGGAATTTTCAATCCGGAACATAGGATTTTTTACAAATACTAAGATTCTCTGCGTTGCAATTAACCAGTGTAAATTTCTTTATAACTTCGCGATGTTTTATAACTAATTTATTTGTTCCACTGGATTACTTCTCCTCAGCGGTTTGTAGTAGCGTATATGGCACGCCGACAGTGTTGCTCCGTCTACCGATTTTTCCTGAAAGTCCGGTTTTGTGCAGATAATAAATAATGTTTTATTAACATCAATTTTGTTTGTGTTCATTAGGTATTATTTGAGTTATAAAATTTATACTTAAATACATTTATTAATCCAAATATTGTTTATAATTTCAAATTAAAAAGAGTGTAATATAATTATTTTATTTTTAAAATTCCTTTTTATTTTTAATTTTAGAAATCAACTTTTTTTCAAGCCGTTTTGGCAATAAAACATAACCATTTTTTTAGTTATAAAATATTTTCATATCTACATTATAAATAAGTACGTTTTCGTTGAATTGACATGCGATCTAGGTGTGTTCCGTTTTTACACTTACACTGGAAGCATCGCGGCGTGAATTAAGTGTGAGACTCCAGTCAAACAAATGAATTAATTATAAAAAATCGCGACGTTGTATTGAAATTTACAGCTTTACAAAGCCATTTACAACAACTGTTGGATGAAGACGGTCCTCAATATTCACCAGGAATGGCCGATTAAACGTGAGTATAAAGTTATCAGCCTTTTATTCACGAAAATTATGTAAAAAAAACTTTAAATGCTTTTTTGCTAAAAAGTAACATTTTCAAACTGGTCAGACACTTTTCTCCGAACCTTCTGAACCGATTTTAAAAAACCAAAAATTTTTATAAAATATTTAAAAAACCAACCCCCCCCTTTTTATTATATATGGGTAAATCCACCGAAAAATATAGTGATTTTTCGACTTTTGTTGTAAATAAAATTTGCATATTTTAAAGGTTTATCATCTAGTTTTGAGTCTCACAAATACAACCCATTTTGAATTTTTTGAATATCTGTTATAGGTGACCCACAAAGTGTCTTACCACCAGCACTTTTTACTACACGCCATCTACAAGACACCAATGAAGTTAAAATCGCTATTAAAAATTTTTATTATGTACTTCAAGACTTACTTAATCATCTCCAAAAGGAATTATGTTAATAAATATTATAGTTTTTTTTCTGCTTTAATTTTAAAATACGTCTTTTTCTTTGAATCGCATGAGACTGTCCCCTTAAATGATAATAAACAAGGTAATTATGTGGGATTACTTTGGGTGGATGTATTTTTACGACTACTTACGTTCTACGAATTGGAGAATCATCGTCATTAATTTCTAATAACAGTCTTAAGTAATAATCACCAATTTTAACTTCATCAGCAAGGCAGGCATAATTTACTTCAAATTCTTGATGGTTCCAAGCTACAAGAGTCAAATGAGCCAATTCTCTGTCTGACGAGAAATTCCGTACTTCCGCTTCTAAGGCACTTCTCAATTCTTCTCTAGTCTAAAAAGTAGCCATTATATGAACACATTTGACATGGTATAAGAACTTGTATATTTGGTAGATGTGAGCTATCTGTGATTTTATGTATCAGTGTCACAACGCGATTGATCATTGTTATAAAAAACCCAAATACACTTTAGCCGTAATAAGCTCATAACAAGAAAAGAGAACATAGCAAGAAAGAGAAGATTGTTTCGCCGCTGAGAGAAAAGAACAACCTCAAGGTCAATGATAAAGCGGATTTTGGGCAGGCAGTACGGTGACAAACAGTGTAATTTGTCTTTTACTTTCTGGTTTCAATGTTATTACCATAGTAGATGTATGATATATGCTCAATAAATACACGTTTGATTAGCACATCAGTGATTTTGTTGTGATATGAAAATTAATGTATTTGACGTGTTTGTTCTTGTGTTTTTTAAGTACTTTGTAAAGTTTATATATCAAAATAAGGAGCTGTCTAACATAAAGACACTGAATAAGGATTCGTAATAATTTTTAAGTACACATGAAGTACAATATTACAGTTCATCCCCTGAATCTTTGCACAAGTATGACATTATCTACGATTTTTTTTATAATATGTCTGTTTGGGAAAGTATTTTTAATATAATCTTGTTTAATTATATATTTTAACTACTTATTTACTTTAAAAGATTACCATATATTATTTTTCTTCTATTCAGTAAAATTTCATTGTTAAACTGGCTAACACATGGTGACCTGTTTTTAAGTTCAGAGAAATTCACTTGTTTTTGTTATTTTTGCCACGTGGCAAGCACAGAAAACGTTACAAAATATCAAATTTCTGTGACTATTTAGTTAAAATTATCGCCATTCAAAAGCGAAATACAATAGAGTTGAATTATGGGGATGCACTTTCTCTACGAACCTACGGACCACCTGCAAAGGTCATAAGAAGGGTGGCCAGATAGTCTCTGACTATTTTATACCAAGAAAAAGTTACTTTAAATCGGACCAATCACAAAAACCTTTGCCAAGGACCGTTCGAGAAAAGCGCGTTTCGATCGGCTATAAAAGTAAACGCATCCGCCAGGAAAGACAGTCAACTTCAAGGACCAGCAATATTTGCTACTACCTGACTTGACAATGGCAAGTGTGACTTTGCCGAAATGTCGTCAAAGTAATGGTTTTTATCAAAACCAAAATTATTCAACGCAGTTCAATCATGAATCGTCAAGTGATCTATTTTTGGTATTTGTTTACACTTTATAGTCAACAAATAAGTCAAAAATATAGGTACATAATTAAGCCCTGATATTAGTATTTCTAACACCAGAGAAAAAACCCAGTACCTTATGCTGGATTACATATACAGGCAAGATATCAACAAAAATAGCCAAACACATAAAAGAAAAAGGAATAACCCTAGCTTTTAGAACAAACAACAACTTAAAGAAATATATTAAGAACTTCTTCTTCTTATGGTGCCCTATCCAATTAGTGGATGTTGGCGACAATTCTGGCATACTCCTCTCGATCTTGTGTGGCTCTAAAGAGTGCATGGGCATGAGTATTTCTTTCTTCCGATGCCCCGTTTTCCTTCTATTTTCCCTTCCATAATAAGCTTATAAGCTAATAAGAATAATTTAATATTAAGAACAATAAGGGTCAAAAGAAAAAGCAATTACACAGCGGTGTATACAAACTTAAATGTGGTCAAAAACTTACATCGGTCAAACTGGTAGAATTTTTATCAAACGTATAGCAGAACATAAAAGGGCATGCCTGGTAAAGCACAACACCGTGTGTTAAATTTATTGGAGTGTTTGGAATTCGAGAAAATAAACGGAGGGTCTTTGGAGCCATTTTGTAATAATATTATCCTTCCCAAAATTGATAACCACGTTATATTTGGGCATCTTATCGATACATTTTTGGCAAAGTAACGTAAGTCACAGAAACGATTTGTAGAATAAACAATTTTTTAATTCAACCTGGTTAAACTTATTTAAATTATGACTAAAAAAAACTTGTCCTACTTGTCCTAAAAAAGGTTTAAAGTAATTCTAGGCTTACTACACTTTTTCAATACCTTTTTAATAGTAATTGCATTAGTTTAATTGAAAAACATTATTTTCGCCAAAAATGTCACTTACGTTACTTTGCCAAAAATGTATCGTTATTTGAGAGCAGTATATTGGAGAGCATAGTAAACCAGTAACATCGGAGAACTAGAAGTTCCAGAGGAACTATAGAATGAATGGGAAATAGGGAGGCACTTTTTGCGCTAAATATTCTATTACAAAAATGTCATGATCAAAGAAAATATGTATCTGCATGCTTCATGGACTTCGAAAAGGCATTAGATACAGTGGAGCATGTAATATTAATGCAGATGCGAAAAAATATAGGAATAAATGATAAAGATATTCGTGTCATTAAAATCAAGACAATTTTTCAATGTGGCAACGTTGGATAATTCTGATATGGCACGTAAAGGAGAGAAGTAACCCAGTAACATTTTAAAATACTTGTGATTTATCACAAGATTATCATCAGCTTTTTCATTACTCCCGTCTAATTTGTTGCTGTGTTTTAATTGTATTTCCGCACCATTTTGATTTCTAACGTGGGTACGAATAGTGTGTATATCCAAGAATTCAATACCCTTACCTTATGGTTCCATATCAAATTAGGTAGGGAATGGTCCCTATTGAAATTCCAATAAAAAAGCGGCCAATTAGATTCCGCTTTCTTCCTCTCCCTTCTTCTCCTCAAAACAATCGGTCGTTCTTTGATCTTCTCCTCTCGTTTCAGCTGAATACCTACAGTAGTTCCCCAATGCTGTAAAGCTAGATTGGTATAATGTTCAACTCGCTTTTCCATAAGTTTAAGTTGTCTTTCTACGGCTACCCAGTTCGGGTTTCTTTTTATCTTGTTCGCATGGTCTTGGGCTAACTTGAGGTTATCTCTATTATTTAACATCTCTTGTTCGACTGCATCTTTCGGTATTTGATCTTGTGAGTCCAAAAATGCTATCAATCCCGTTGGCTAAAAACATAAATTGGAAGAATATTGTTACTATATAATAAAATTAATACCTAATAAATTAAAATCGACTAGTATATATTAAACACTAATAAATGGAATGGATATCGCTTTCGACCAACAAACTGACTATATGATTAGCGCGAAAATGTCTGTTTTTGTCAATTTATTCAAATAGGAAACAAAAATAAAGCTAAACAAATATAACTTACCATTATCCTCTTCAATAAACCCATGGCAATGGGATTTCCCGTAACCCAAAGGCCGATTAAATGTCTAGATAGCTGTCTATGCGTCAGCAGTCTGCCGTCAGTTCCTTGAGTGTAGAGAGCGGCCAAAAGATGTCGTGGTAAAGCTCCTTCGGCAAGGGCCAAGTTTTGCATTTTTTCCGCTACATCGGACTCTCCTTCTTCGATAATCGAACGCATGACTAGGCCAGCTCCCTTTACTATCGCCATTGATGGATGCTGAAATCAAAACAACAAGCATTTAACATGTATTTCCCTTTTTTTTTGCTTCCTTTCTCTCCTGCACCAGCTCCTCCTTATCCCATCTACAAACAAGCTACGAAACAAGGATATATAAAAAATTGTTCAAACTATAGAAGGCTAAATGCCATATAATTACTCTCAAGACTATGGAAAATAATAAAAAAAATTGAAAATGGAATGACAGATGTAGAAGAACAAAATGGCTTTCGTGCAGGCAGATCCTTTAGAGATAGTATGATAGAAAGTGTGGCATGTAAAGAGAGGTTAGGAAAAGAAGATACAGTAGCTGAAATGTAAATGCTACGGTGGATGTTGAGTGAGACTAGAAGAGACAGGATCAGGAACGATGTGATTAGGGAAAGAGTAGAGGTGACTACAGCCTAAAAAAAGGTTCAAGAGCAAAGACTGCAATGGTTTGATCAAGTCAGACATAGAAATAAGAACTAGGATAGAGTTTTTACAAGTTGGTGGAAAGAGAGGTAGAGGAAAACCGAGGAGAAGATGCAAGAAGTGTGTGGCAGAGGACTTGATAGAGAAAGGTTAAATGAAGAAGACACGATAGACAAAAATGAGTGGCGAAAAAGAATCTAAAAAGGAAAAGGCTGAGGAAGAAGGAGAAATATATATATATATATATATATATATATATATATATATATATACAGGATGTCCAGGAAAATAGTGCGTTGCTCATAACATTTTTTTAAGTCAACCGTTTTCAAAAAAAAATATATTAATTTTAATCTTAGTGTCCACAGAAAAGCAAATACAGCCGGCAATGTTGCGCTCCAAAAAGGTATGGGTAGAATGCACCATTTAAAAGAAAACTTTTTTATAAATTCTTTTTTAAAGTCATCTGTTGCCCCAAAAAAAAAATAAATTTCTTTCTTCTAAAATTTACATTTGGCAACCCGACAGTTGTTATGTTTTCGATTCGCGAGTATTACGATATGTTAATTATGTACGGAAAAGCTCACTGTGATAGTAATAGGGCTGTTAGACTTTATGTTGAACGCTATCCCGAATGACGACATCCTAATGCCCGAAGTTTTGTAAACGTGTGCCAAAGGTTATTAGAGACGAGTTGCGTGGTACCTAAAAAAACTAGCGGTAGAATACGAAGTAATCGTAGACTAAATGCAGAAGATGTGATTATGGATATAGTCAGTAATAATCCAAGAGTTAGTACCCGATCTGTGGCTAGAATGGTTGGCATTTCAAAAAACATTGTTCACAAGACATTTACGGAACAACTATAACATCCTTACCATTACCAACGAGTGCAAGATTTACACCAAGGCGATTTACCTCGAAGATTAAGATTTTGTAGATGGTTTCAAAACAAAATCGCTAGAAAACATGAATTTCCGTGTAAAGTGTTGTGTGCAGATGATCCTTGTTTTACGAGAAATGGTGTGTTTAATTTTCACAATTGGAATGATAAAAACCCGTATGCTATACGTAGGACAAATTTTCAAAAACAATTTAGTATAAATTTATGGGTTGAGATTATTGGTAATCATCTGATTGGACCGTACGAACTTCCTAGAAGATTGAATGAAGAAACCTATTTAAATTTTTTGCAGTATGTTTTACCGATACTTCTTGAAGACGTTCCGTTACAAATACGCTCTGAAATGTGGTTTCTTCATGACGGGGCTCCAGCACATGTTACGAGATATATTAAAAATTTCATTGACATCACTTATCCTCGTCGTTTGATTGGTAGAAATGGACACGTTCTGTGGCCACCCAGAACGTCAGAATGCAATGTTATGGACTTTTATTTTTGGAGACATCTAAAATCATTAGTATACGGCAACCAGGATGAAATTAAAACAGAAGCTCAATCGCGACAACGAATTTTTGAAGCTGTTGAAATAATCCGACATAATTTACATACTTATAATATTAAGAATAATTGGATTCGTCGAATAAATGCATGTAGCTATGCAAATGGTGGCCACTTCGAACATTTATTTTAACAATACTTTTTCATGTAAGTAAAAACTTCACACATTAATTATTAAATATTTAATAAAAACAAATATGCTTTTTGTCTATCACTGTTATCTTTATTTTTAGAAAATAATATACATTCCGTGAACATAAAATTATTAAAAAAAACAGTGTCACAAACGAAAATATTATTTACTTATTCCTAACCGTTACATATACAAATAGTCCTCAACAGAATATGGCTCAAGAGCTACCAGTAATTTAAATATTTGATGTTTATACAAACTTAATCTTTCCTCCCTTTTCATAGGTTCAGGCAGTTTATTAAACAATTTGGTGCAGCAATAAAGAGCGTTTTTTTCTGTTATACTTAACCTGTGTATTGGAATTTTATAATTATATAACCTGGTAAGTTCTATACTATTGGGCTGAAAGTTCCTAAAGAGTATTTTAATTTTATATAGAAACAGTAAGCATTCTTGAATAAATACAGCGTAAACTGTTAAAATATTATTACTCCTAAAATGCCCTCTACATAATTCCCTACTTTTTAAGTCAAACATAACTCTGATTATTTTTTTCTGAACCAGAAATACATTATTTATGTCCCTACTGTGGCCAAAATTTATTAGACCATATCTAAAGTTTGCTTCAAAATTAGCATGATACACTGTTTTTAATGAGTTACTATTCATGTATTTTTTTTAGAACTCTAAAGCTGTAAATCACTTTACTCAAAGACATACATAACTGGTCAACATGTTTATCCTAACATAAAAAACTGTCAATATATAATCCTAAAAATTTGGTACTGCTGCTAATATTTAAAGTGTCATTATTTACAATAATACTGTTTGGCATATCTGAATGTGCATAATTTGTCTTAAACAAAAGAAGATCTGTTTTATTTTGATTTAAAACCAACCTATTCATAGAAAACCAGTCTTTAGCTTTCTGGAACTCTAAACTAGCATTAACGCTTAGAACAGACATGTCTTTACCACTGACTAAAATGTTTGTACATAATTTGTTATGCTGGAAGTAGTATTAGCCACTAGACCATGAAGATCATTGATATAGATCACAAACAATAAAGGACCAATCACACTTCCTTGTGGTACTCCAATATTGATAGTGCTTTCAGATGAGATGCCTATTTCAGTGTTTTTATGTATTTTTACTAAATGTCTCCTATTTGCTAAGTAGGACTTAAACCAATTCAATGCTGGTCCACGTATACCATATTTCTCCAATTTATCAAATAATATGTCATGCACTAAACAGTCATATGCCTTTGATAGGTCCAAAAAGAGACCCAAAGCCATATGACCAATCTCAGTACATTTCAAAATATCCCAGACAAATTGAAAAATCGGAGTCTGAGTTGATTTTCCCTGTTGATAACCATGCTGATTTGCACTAATAATATGACATTTTGTTAAAAATTCTGTTATCCGCCTATACATAGTCATTTCTAAGATTTCTGAAAAGGAACATAGAAGGATAATTGGTCTATAGTTATTAATTAATTTAGGATCACCCTTTTTGTAAACAGGTGTTACTATGGCAGTTTTCAGGCATTCAGGAAATACACCAGATTTTAGTGAATTATTTATGATTGTAGTGAGAGGATTCACTATCTTCTTTATACAAAGTTTAAGGATTTTAGTGGGTATTTCATCAATTCCACAACTCATTTTGTTTTTTAAATTTTTAGTTATATCCATAATTTCAATTTCTGTCACAGGTGCGACAAACACTGAATTTATGTTACTTGCAATGTTGTCTTTATATTCAGTGTATTGTAATTAAGATAAAGTGTTATTTAAAGAAGTATTTAAGTGGATCATGTATTTATCAGCAATCTCTTGAGGACTACCCTCTACTTTTATTGAATTTACATTTTTTAATTGACCATTAATTTCACTAAAAATTTGCCACATGCATTTATTTTTGTTGGCAGCTTCAGACATCCTGTTTTCATATAGCTTTGATCGTTTTGTTATTAGTTTCTTATTATATTCTTTTTTTACCTGTCTATAGGAATCATAGAATTTATGGTTAATATATATATATATATATATATATATATATATATATATATATATAAATATATATATATATATATATATATATATATATATATATATATATTATGCCTAACGATCGATTATTCATGATAGCTGGTTTACAGTAATTAACGAAGAATAACAAGGAACGCAACGTGTGCGCTTCCTCTGTATTCTCGAGTGTAGATAACAATCTTAGTTGAAAACAGGTTTTATAAGATGATGAAACAAAAAATAATTACCTGAAACAAACGAAACAGCATCCGTCCTCTTTCGGAAACCATTTCCAAAAGAGTGTCGAAGTGTTTTCCGTCCGTCGTTTCGCTGTATGGTACACACAAGGCGAACGTTAAAAAATCCAACATGGCCGATACGATCAAGGCACCAGTACCAACTGCCTAAAATGAAAATAAGTTCATTAGTTTAACACCTAATACACAATGGTGTGTTCAAAGGGTATTTTTTTTGTGTAATAAATATTTTAAACTGTAATAATAAACATTATCTATTACACAAAAACGCTAATATAACAGTTCACAGTTGCACTGACCAAAAAGTGATCAAAATTTACCGCAGTTCAACACGCCTAAAGGTCGATTCAGTCCCGTCATAGTCTCAGCGCCGAACCGATCCTGTTTGGTCACAGAACTATCAACTATCTGACAGCTGGGAAACTGTTTGTCAACTGATGAGTGTGAATGCCGGCAACATTTTGTATTAAAGAATATTTTGTATGACGGATTGTTCGGTTCGGGGCAATCACTGTGACGAGACGTGACTGATGTGTCTGAATCGACTTTAAATATGTTTTTCGAATCGAAGTTAACTTTAAATAAACCGTTTATACTTACAATATGTTGAGTCCACATGTTCAAAAGACTGTCTAGGAACGGCTTTGTTTGTAACAAAGACGACTTGTTGAGTTGTTCCTGTCTCAGATCGTAATCGTCGTGCATCGGATGCATTAATGCGCAAATGACATCTATAGCAGCTTGAGTCACGGCATAATCATCTCTTTTCAATGCTGCAATAACTTTGTGTCCTATGGCTTCCCTAAAACTGTAAGAAAATAGTTTAAAACAACTTTTAGTTCCATATAAAAATGTGTTTCGTAATTTACTTACCCAGGTAATTTTGTAAATGATGCATATCCTACTTTACTGGCTACTAGACGTCTTAGTCCTTGGAATTGAGCTTCCAATTCGACTAAACTAATGGTTTTTTGGTCACCTTCCTTTGATACTAACGATTGCAGTACGCCAGTGATAAGTTTTTCTTTATTTTCTGAAAATATACCCTAGAAAAAAATAAGAAAAACTTACAATGAATTAAAAAACTTTTACTTTAATCAGTACAATTTATAAAATTAATAAAATTATGAAAATATCCAAATGGATTACAATTTTCAAAACATTTTCGGTCCTGTCAGACCATCATCTGTAAGACTTGAAAGTAAGTAATCTCACATTAATATAATGAACAAAATGGGGTAAAACTTCTACTATTAATATAAAAAAAATGTATGATTACTTAACTAAAATTAGATTACCGTACTAAAACGGTATAAAAACCTCTGATTTGCAGTTTGAATGTTATAAAAATTAAAAATAAAACTACATAATGGCGATGATTTAAGATTTAGTCGAAAGGAACATACTGACTCTTACTAGAAATGGAGACCATGTCTGGGTTTAACAAAAGTTAACAGCCAACTGAGTTGTAGAATCATGAAGTAATTACCATAACATAATATTTAAATAACCTTCCATTTAGTCTTATATATCTGATAACGGCATACGATAGTGTACCATTTCAATGCGTCGTCATCCCGAACCAGGGTAAATTACCCCCAATGGGCAAATTACCTCAAATGGGGTAAAAATGAAACTTTTGTGAGTAAAAGGTATATATTTTTAATTTGCTAGTTTATAAACCTGTTAGTATTTTTTTAACTTAAACAATTTAGCAACATAGGCCACGCCATCTCACTCCTCACCACTAGAGTGTTCTCGAGTTATATCTTTGCGCAGTAAAGCATAGCCCCGGCCATTTACCTGCTCAGTCCGTGCCATGCCGTCAAGATACAAATACATTGAAGAGCCAGAGAGCGAGTTTTACTAGTTCATCATCATCAATGGTGCTACAGCCCTATGAAAGAGCCTCGACCTTCCCAAGTCTATTACGCCAGGCAGTCCTATCCATTGCCAACCGTGGCCAGTTTGCTGCGCCTATCTTTCTACCATCCTCATCTACACCATCCTTCCATCTGAGTTTTGGCCTACCCCTTTTTCTACTTCCCACGGGTTGTGACATAAGGATTGTTCTAGGAGGGTTGTTCTGCTGTGATCTTGCTAGATGTCCTGCCCATCTTAGTCTTCCTATTCTTATAAGAGATACTACGTCTTTACCACAAAATATTTGTTTATATCTGTGGTATACCTCGTAGTTGTATCTCCTCCTCCAAACACCATTTTCACAGATGCCACCAAATATTCCTCTCAGGATCCTTCGTTCAAATGAGTTTTACTAGTTAAGTAAAGATAAAGTTAAAAGTAAAGTAAGGCTGCTGCAAAACACCTACACTCTTTAAAATATATCTGACTGATGCACTCTTAGTGTGAAGAAACAAGCGCTGCAATATAGGCATCCCAATCGAAGACGGGAGATTGTACACAATACACACAAGACAGAAATAAATGGAAAAATCTTGAGGAGACCTCATCGAGCAAAAAGACAAAAGAGGGAATGTAAAGGTAGTGGGAGCAAAAATATTGTTAGACAGGAAGTGAGATCTTTAGAGGCCACATTGAACAAGGAAAGAGAGTCTCTCTCCTTGTCTGACATCAAATTTAGTTGGGTTATGTTATTGTTTGTCCCAAATGTCACATGAAATCTTATTTATATTGAAGTTTTTTAACAATTGTGTCGCATTTTAGACTATTACCGTTAATAATTAATTAAAACTTTCTCGTTTAAGACACATTCTGAAAAATATTATATAGCTACTATTAATAAGGGTCGGAAAATTTAAATTTGGCGCATTCGCATTTCCGGATATGTCCGCCATCAGAGGCCACTTTTTTGGTCTCCTTTTCATAAGGATTAGATTACCTCTTTTGACTTTTAGCTCGATGGGAGACCTGTATCTTACAATGGACGCAAAAAGAAACTGTATTATGATGATAAAATTTGTATATAGCCAATTTATCTAACCAGTGTTTCAATTTGTTGGCAAATTACCTAACCCTAGGTGTCAAAAACTTTATGATATCCTCTTACCTCTTGTGTTATGCTGTATAGAAGCCCGCTATAAGGAATATTGCTATTGAACCTCCTCAAACATTGAGAAAAAGGTTTGGAAGGTGGTGGATTCATAAGCAGTTTCAGGTGTAAACTTTCTGCTTCTTCATCTACGGGTATACTCAGAGGACTTAACCTCAATCCCCGATCAGTGGCAACCATCGTGACATGCACATCTTTATTACCTGCAGCTCTTACGCCATCTAACAATGAGGCTAATAGTGAATCTCTAAAATGTTTAATATAAAAATGAATATTGTCTTGTAAAATGCGATTATATTGCATTAAAAGAATCCACGTCTCCTTGTGTGTCCCACTTAAAACTATCTCGTATCCAGATCAATAATCTTACCTGTCCGTTGTAGTATATGTTCTAGTCTGCCCATTTAAATACTCAATAGAAAACAGCTGCAGATTGCTGTTATCTCTTACGAGAGCAAATATATTATTTAATGGTTGTAAAGTACAAATACTGTAGGTTTGTGGATCTCTTTCCAATATACAGTGCTCCGAGAGACACAGCGTTCTTCGAACAGGTTCATTATGTCTAGCTTTTTGAATTTTGTACACTGAGAATTCTGATACAGCAGTAATATATTCATCATCACTAAAACAAAAGCATAACCATTAAACCAAGACATTTATAATAACAATAATCACATAAACCAAACAATAAGTTGTAACGAAGACACTTTCAACGCTTACCGGCGGCTGGACTTCTCTGTATGCCCGCACTCCCACAAACAACCTACTAGTATAAAACGTCGTGAACAATGACAGAGAATCAAGTTCGATCCGGAGTATTGATCTGCTAAGAGCTTTTATCTCCGGGTCTCTAAGTACTGATCTGAGGCCGTTCTTTTCGCCATACCTACGATCGAGTATTGATTGACAGCTTCCGTACCTCGCTTGGGTGGAGTATTGATCGATCACTTCCATCCTACCTCTCGGTTGAGTATTAATCGGCTGTTTCCATAGTCTTTCGGTATTAACTGAAAATCGTCCTTTGTCTTACCCATCCAAACGCCGCTTGATTTCCGTTCACCGCCATTGACGTCGTATCGTAGCCCGTCGATTTAATTTACGAGGATTCTTTTTTTATTTTTATTGTATAGAAGTTTTGTTATTTATTTGAATATATTTTTGGTGTCTAATAGAGCTACCCGTCACAAATTGGCGCCTAAGCAAAAGTAAAATGCCGCTTTATCCATCAATGAAAAGACCAACGATAACGACAGAATGTTCTTTGACAATACTCCACCAACCGATAGATGTTCTAAAAGATGATAACTTCGACATGGAAGATATGAAAAATATTATAGGGACAAATGATGAGAAAAACGTTTCTGAAGAGGTATTATAAGTTATCATAATTTGGAGTCCTCTCTATGAGCAACACAAATTTTATAGAAAAAATCCGGAATAACTTTCTTATGTATTCTGCATACATATTCGGAATTCTAGTTGCAGATTATAATAAAGAAATTTTAAGTAGACGAAATTGGAGATCTATATAGCAGACAAATATCGTTTGAGTTAGTATTGTTTGTAAGAGAGAATAAGGAAAAGGACTCGAATTGTGGAAGGAAATTTATGGGTTCTTTACAAGGCGATCTGCAGGCTCATTCGCGTTGTCTTGTCAAGAGGTCCCCAATCTCAGAGTAAAACAATCCGCCTTATTCGCCGGATATTGCGCAGTGAGACTTCTAACTGTTTCTAACGCAAATCTACTTTAAAAGGAACAAGATTTGAGTGTGTAAAAGCTTTAAAAGAGAAAGTGACGCCTCTTAAAAAGCTGGGAGGGAGATAGAGAGAGGAAGACACTGGCTGCAGAAATCTATTAGTGGCATTCTTGGTATGTTGAACGAAGAGTACCTACCTACCTACCGAAACAGATGAGCTGAATGTGTTCCATTCCGTCGATAGGGTGAGTTGAACGAAATCGATAATTTCCCGTCCTGCCTCAGCGACTACATGTGTTGTATGTAGCCACTGAGTTTCCTTTGCTGTCTGATGTGTTGAATCGGATACGTCCTTCCATAGACATTCATTTCGCATTTAGAAATGAACGTGACTTCTAATTAATTCCCCCAATCACCAATTTATTATTAAAGGATCAAATATCGTCACAATAACCTTTTAAGTTCTATGAAAGCCGAGTATGTACATGTAGAAGTTATATAAATTGGAAATAACGACATGATTTCCATATTTTGTCTGTTTAGACCAAAATAAATGTCATGAGAAAAAAGAATTCTGTCTCCGACTGTTATTTACTAGCCGAGATCATGATAGATCTTAGTTCTTGTTGTTTAACAGACCCATTTCCTACAACCTTAAATTTATTTAACTTTGCTATTATTCTAAAATATTTAACTCACAGAAATGATTCATTTTTTCAAATATTGTTACTAAAATACTCGGAAATACATGTTGGAAATCAATCCACTGTCGCAAACTGTGTATATATTAAAAAAAAATAGTGTTATAAGCTTAAACCAAAGCCTTACCTGTACTTTCCAAATCGTTGAACTTGAAAATCCTCTAAAGATATTGGCTTACTTAACACCTTGATATTGATTCCTAAATTGGCGGTTGCAGATTCCAAAATTTTACTTTTGATACTCTCATAATGCGGCGATTGAAATAAATGCAAACGACCAAATCCTCCGCAAACTATCACAAATCCTCCTTAAAAAGAAATTTATATTAAATTTTATTAAAAACTTGTTAGTGCAAGCTTCCAAAAATAGAGAAGTCAAATATGGAATATGCGCGTGGGTTTAGTCATTTTAATACTAACTTTCCAAAGACCAATTTATATAAGTTTTGTAATACTTTTATTTTGATGAACCGCGTATTCAAATCCTGCAGAGCACGTGAATTTTTCTGTTCAATAAATGAAGTTCTCATATCTGTCGGATTAGTACTCATTCGATATGACGCAGTTGTTTGGACACGTAAACGGTTAGGGCTATCAAGTGAACAAAAAAATTGAACACGAGTTAATATACAAGTACATCTGATTGTTGTGTTAATATCAGGTATACCATACTAGTTTCTTATGTCTCTGAATCATTAATATTGCTTGGGACCAGGTCCAAATTTACCTTCAATTTTCCCCATTAAGATGACATTTAATAGCCTATACTTGTCATTTCTTGGAATATGGCCCAAGCTTGAAATCTTTGGCTGTTTAACGAGATCTATTCGGAGTTATCTTTGGATATTAGCTGTCCTTGAGACATATTCATTTGTGACGTGACACTTCAAAAACTTCCATACGATTCAGAGATCATTAAATTCTAAGATCTCATTTTCGTACAACAGAATAGGCAATATGTACCATTTTATGACTAGGATTCGAACGTTTAAAGGAATTTATAAGCGTTTATGTTACGATCGTCATAGAAAAGATCTAGTATGGCATTTACCAGATTTCACAAGTTTGTGATTTGCGATATTGGTTGTTAATCAATTAATAATTGTCCCTTTTTGTCCTATTTTTGCTTATAACCATGTATTTCATTGTATTAAAATCAAGCCCAAACTTGCTACTTACTTATGCTACCCTTGAGACAATCACTTGCAGATCTTCCAGACAGTCTGCAAAAATGGCAGTGCTATTAGCTCACCTTGTTCAGTTGTTCTGTATTTATAAGCATTCCCTCGTCTATATCAGTTAGTGCTAGGTTCGCGAAACACTCACATAAGTAATATTGCAAAAATATGATAGGAAAAAAGCAATTATATATTAAATGAACTCTTATGGGATACAAAAATAAAGATGGAAAGCAAAACGAGAAGATATGATACTATCATGAAGAGTATAATAATATAATGCTTGCAAACTATGATTACTGAAAAAACAGTAGGAAAAATAATAGGAGCCAAAGAGATGGACTACTAGAAATCAGCTATGGGAAAATTAAAATGAGAAATAAGAGAATCACACAAATTATAAGAATAAAACATGATATCACTGATGAAATATGGATTAAACAATTTATACAGCAAAGTCATGTATTCAGAACATCCAATCACAAAAAAAGTGCTCAAGTGAAACCCAAAAAGAAGGAAAAAACGAAGAGAGAGAGAGAGAGAGAGAGAGAGAGAGAGAGAGAAAGAGGGGCGCTATAAGATAATATGTGGGAAAATAAAGTGACAGAACACCCTATCGGGTAAAGAGACTGGCTGAGTTGTGCAATCTTAGATTTTGCCAAAAACTATTACAAACTGTCATATAAATTAACTGGCACAATATTGTGATCAAAATCCAGCACCGCTTACTCAAAAAATGGACAGTTTTCTTCTCACTGTGACAGTTTTCTTTAATGTAAAATGTATCATTTATTGTGTCACTTCTTGTGAGACCCAATAACTTCATATTCAAAAAACACATATATTTGGATGACTAACCATTTTTAAACCAATTCCATCATTTATTATATACACTGCTTATATAGTCATCCCCAAAGTACTTTTGTGATAACTTTTTTTGAGTTTAAGGCAAAACTTAATAAGAATGCATTGCTAAAATCGTTCCATTATTCTCAGTGATAATGAAGTGGGATGAATGCAAGAAAGGCTGTAAACAAAGGCATGTTACTATGAACTAGACATTTTCAATTGGCAACTGCAGTATACAGTAAGTGTGAGAAGAGTTGCTTATTTTGACTGTAGCCTATAAGGAATTCTGAAACTTTTGACATAAAATATGAATGAAGATTGGATACTGTTCTGGTAGACCTGAATTGCTATACTTTTTTTAATTTAATAAAAATAAATTTCTAATCACACAAATAAACACATTAACAAAAAATAAACACATTAACAAAAATAAACTATCATTCCCCAAAACAATGACAAAATTAAACAAGTTAGTTCACATTCACATTAAACAGAGTCACATTTTTTTCCTACAAACTCAGTTGTAGCCCCTTAATAAATAATCACAAATTATGCAAGTTATCTATTTCTTTTACTAAGCTTATAATCCAAAATCTTAAAGTCTAAAGAGAATTTGTATATCAATACATGAAAATAAACACAAACATGTAATCATATTTTTTTTCTTAGATAATTTCAGTATGATTGAAATTATTTGGGCTGACAATTCTTACTTTAATGATATAAAATTTATAGAAGCACAGTTCTAAATTTATTACTAAAACAATAATAATTTTCCTTTTCAGTTTGTGAGAATAGGTGGTTGACTCCATAAAAAAATCAAAAAGGGAATATTGTAATTTTAGAATTAAAATCTGCACATACTTAATATATAACTATGATAAAAACAGATTTATATTTATATTCATATACATTTATATTCGATTAAATTACTACTGAAATTGATTATAACTTTCTTTCAAAATATTTAGTTTCAAAAAAAATCTATTACCTGTTTCCAAAGTCACATCACCCTGTACAATATCTATGCTCAAATAAATAATTTTAATACATATTTCATGTAAAGCTAATCTTTTAACTTTTTAAAACCATTGTAAACAATTTAATATAAGAAAAAGTGAAGTAATCGTCAACCGATCATAGACATCCAGGAATCAAATAACAAACAACAAATAAAAAAACCATGTCTTTTTAGTGCTTTATAAACAATATTGACATTTACAAGTATTTAAGCAAATAATATGAAAGAACAATTGCATTTAGCTATTGTTTGCCATTTAAAAACTGTTTAAAAAATGTTTCGTCCTCCCACATGATACCGATAAGTTTTCGATATGAAACTGATTGACTAGATTGATAAACCGCATTTACCTAAACAATATCCACTTCACAAATAAGGCATTTTTAGAAAGAATCGTATGGAGAACCTACTTTGATTTCAAGGCAAATTTGGGGTACAGTTAGGGGAGAGGCATGTGGTGCATCAATGGTGAGTCTTTTGAATACAGACCATATTTGATTTAGCAATATAATATCCCTTAGTATATTGTACATATAATTAATTTATATATAATAAATATAAAAACATTAGTTTGATTAAAAAAATGTATTTGGTAATTAAAATAAATTTAATTGAAAATTAGTAAAGAGAAATATTTTGTAACACAATATAATAAAGAAGAGCTGTAATTATATGATATTAACATGAAATTCACTTAAAAATGTCAGTTATTTTATTTAATTTGTTTTCAAAATTTCTTATATTACAGAGAAAAAAATTATTTACAAGTTATAAAGACATATTAGTGTGTACAATTTGACAAGTAAAATAATATACAACTGAGTTATTAATATTTCAATACTATGTATTCAATATTATGAAGGGATAGTAAAAATGATGGGAAAGCAATTCATTAAGAACAATATATAGAGATGTTTCTCAACATGCAAAATATGTACTAAATAAAGAATTAGATGTAAAAATAACAAAAGAAAGCCCAGGTAAAGGATTAGTTATATTTAAAGTTAATTATTCAGATTAGAGTTTTATAATTACAAGCACCAGATAATTTAAAGGGTTAAAAACAAAACAATGACTTAAAAACTTGAAAAGAAGATCATACACCTTCATGGAGTATCACTTATAATACCAATGACCCATAATTTATTAACAGACTGAAAAAAATATTTTGAAATTACAGATAATTAAGATCACTTTTACTAAGACAGAAATAACTAAAAATGCAGAATATGATTTATTATTTGTTTTGTTTAAATTATCTGTTAAAACCCAATTAAATTGAGTACCCTAATGGCTTTGACTAATACATGAAGACTCTTATTTAATATACACTGGATATTTCCTAATAAAATACCCCCTTACAATACCCCACACTGATTGTCAATGTTTTATATTCTCATGAACTGTAATCTGATATAAGCAAAATAAGAAGGTATTTAGATAAAAACAATGTGCATATCAGTTGGGTCAGTGTAATATGATATGGCAGAAAAATAAACCCAAACCACAGACAAAATAATACAATGTTATCTTTCACTTCCTTTTTTATGCTCAATAAAAAATTGACTGTTTATTTATGTAATATATTTGTCCCAGTTTATTTAAGAGTTAAACAATATGTAATAGGTTAAAAAAAAACAATAATAATACTGATTATTCCTTAAATATGTTTCAAATAAAATTGGAATTTTGATAACTAGTTAAAAATAAACTCACCAGGATAATCTGAAACTGTACATATTCCTTCAAAATCTTTGAAATTGTAACTGGCAAGGACAGTATTACTAGTAGGATCCAGTTGATCTAAAGAATATGATGTGACTTCTAGTATAATTGGCAATCTTATATCAGACCAGTGATGTTTGTAAGCTTGGTATCTCTAAAAACATACATGCATAAGTAGTTCATAATGGTAATATTCTCCTAATTGTAAACTCTTTTAGAGGGTTTATTGGAGATCCCATACTATTACTTCTAATGTATTGTCTCAATCATTATATACATCTAAATATATGATTTTCTTTAATACTATTACAAATATATGTTAGAAGCTATCAGCACAAGAAATCATTTTAAAATTTAAGTGTCATTAAAAAATTTCAATAGATTTGTTAATGTTTCCAAAAAAAACTACATGAAAACATGTAAATATGGAAAGTGCAAAAGCCTTACCAGTATTTCTTTGGGTTTCTCAGAAAAGTGAGTTCTAAACTTAAGAGCTTCTGTTAAGATGAATGTTCTGAGATCAGAAGAAAAAGTCATTTTATCTACTTTCCTCTCCTTTTTCATAGTAATCTGAAATTCATTGTGATTTCCACCTCTCAATGGAGTGATAGATATGAAATCACTGTAGGGCCATCTATTTGTAATTTCCAAATTGTTAGGATTGTAAGTTGTAATCCCTTGTGTGCCAACAGAAAAAATTCTTTTGTATCTAAAATAACAATTTGGTGTAACAACTTTACCTATATTGTGATATTTTGAGACTTACTTTCCCTTCCACGTTGTGTGTTTTGTGCAAAAGAAACAAGCCACATCTTGATTATCCTTTACAGGCATCATATTGCTAGACTTTCTTTACACAATTTGATATTTTAAAGTAAAAAGCCTGCAACTTCGGCATAAAGAGTTCATTTAAGTTACGGGGTATCGAAACAAAAACACTTATAAACAATATCTATAAAAAAGCAAAAACCGCATTAATTTATATAGAAAACACAACTTTTATCCTTCACAAAAACATTTTGGGGGTGTCAGCTGTTGATTACTCAAAACTCAAACGTCAAATATCCAAATGACAAGTGAAGTTGAAGTATTAATGTAATATGTATTTTGATTCGTCCTACGGAACATGTGAATAAAATTTTTATTAAATAATTTTATCTGATTATATAAAAAATACGAGGACCGTACTTACCTTTTATTTGATAAAAACGAATTATTTAATAAGAACAGTTGAAAAGAAAAATTGTTAGATGTTTAACTTTTTTTTCCAGAAATACAACACAACATATCTTTTAGAATTAGAATTAGGAAAATAACTTTCATAAATGGAGCATATTGGAGTAATTTTAAATTCATTTTAATGATTTCTTTTCGCTTTATAACATTCCCGTTGTCTGTATATAATTATTTAGTCCTTCTGAATTTTATTTTATTGCTTCTGTGTATTTTACTTAGTTTGTATGTACCTATTAAAGGTTCGCCAGATATTTTTTATTGAAAAATTCAATGTCTACAATTCAGACATGGAAGTTAATTACACGCTTCTCCATTTTCACTCTGAAAATAGATTTTATAGAACAGTTTCTGTTATTCTGTTCCGCTCCCCATCACATATAATCTAGTTTTAAAAATATTTGGGTCGCCCTTTTTCATTCTTCTTGTTTATAAGCTATTTTGGCTATAAGTAACAGTTGACTAAACCAGGTTAAATGCATTTTTTTTATTGTTATTAAGACTGCTTTTATCACCAAACATTTTGTTCTTAACCCTTAACTGGTATGGCAGGGTCAAATTTGACCCTATTGGAAATTCTTTTGTAATTTTCGGAAAAACTAGGCGATATGGCAACATACCATTTGAGGTATTCTTTCAAGGCGTGCAACTGCTTCAGTTCCGCTATCAGTCGCCCGCAAGCAATTAGTGGCTCCACGTGAATATTGTGAATTGGGTCAGATTTGACCCTGCCATACCGTTAAAGGATAATTTCTCGTTTTCGGGTAAGAAGCACAATACTGTTATTTTTCCAGAAAAAAATACAATTTTGTTTGTTCTTTCAATTTAGAGTTGTGATCGAAGTATAATATGTCGAACGTGCGTGACAAAAGGGCGCCTTTGACACAAAAGGAAATTGAACATATTGCTGAAACTTTATGGGATACCGACAACGACCTTTCCGATGCAGAGACGATTGTTAGTGATCACGATACGGATAGTGACTACAATGCTGATAGTGAGAGTGAAGATGAAGCTGTTGATGGCAGTGATAGGCACTCTGTCGAAGAAGTTAGCTTATCTGTTGAAAGTGAAATTGTTGGGGATGAAAGTGGCTATTTCTACGGAAAAAATAGAAAAAAGTGGGCGAAAACGCCACCTGCGTCTAGCCGTACTCGCGTCACCAACATAGTGTCGCATATTCCTGGCCTTTCGGGACCATGTCGGACCAATAAGCCAACTACACCCTTGCAGGCGCTCAGTTTTTTTCTCGATGGATACATTATAAATGAAGTTATCGCAAGAACGAATGAGAAAATAACTGAACTGCAGGCAACCTATGGCGATCAGGCCTTGTCATGTCAGTTTATTAATCATGTCGATGAAGTAGAAATGCGAGCATTTCTCGGTCTTCTCTATCTAGCTGGAGTGTTCAAGTCGAGTCACGAGGACATAAATTCGCTTTTTGCAACAGATGGAACAGGTCGTGACATTTTTCGTGCAACAATGACTCTAAAGAGATTCAGTTTCCTGCTAACAGCCTTAAGATTTGACAATCCAGCCACTAGACGACAACGTATTGAAGACGGAGATAAACTTGCTGCAATTTCAAATTTGTTTTACAGATTTATTGGAAACTGTAAGATAAACTATTCTTGTGGGGAATACGTAACCGTGGACGAAATGTTGGTTGGATTTCGGGGAAAGTGTAGGTTCCGTATGTTTATAAAAAGCAAGCCTGTGAAATACGGACTAAAAATATTGTGTTTGTGTGACGCTCGTACACATTATTTGATCAATGCTTTTGTATATACGGGCAAAGATGAAAATAGGGCAAATCCAAAGAAGCTATCTATTCCAACCCAAACTGTGCTAACTTTGATTGAACCAATAGCAAATTCGAACCGTAATATTACAGGGGACAATTGGTTCACGTCACTAGAGCTGGTTGAAGAATTGCAACGCCAAAACTTGACATACGTAGGTACTATTAGACGGAATAAAAGGGAGTTACCTAAAGAGTTCCTAGCTAGTAAGCAACGTGAACCACTTTCCTCGCTTTTTGGATTTACTAAGGATATAACAATTGCGTCATACGTTCCAAAAAGAAATCGCTCAGTTTGCATGATGTCTACAATGCACCATAATAACATGGTCGAAGAAGGAGCAAAGAAATTACCAGACATCATCTCCTTTTATAACCTAACGAAAGTTGGCGTTGATGTACTGGACCAAATTTGTGCCAATTACAAAGTAGGAAGACGTACTCGGCGTTGGCCTCTAACTTTGTGGTACCGAATGATGGACATCTCCGCCGCAAATGCAGGCATAATTTATAATGCTGCTAATCCAAATAATGAGATGGTTCGTAACCGTTTCCTTATTGATTTAGGGAGAGAAATGATCAACGAACACTTAGTTCGAAGAAGTCAAATGAAAAACATTCCTCGGGAATTGAAGGTAACCATAAGGCGAATCAGCAATATCCCAGATGAGGCCCCACGAAGCATAGATAACCCTCAACGTCGACAACCTAAGCGTGCCAGATGCTTCTTATGCCCTTACAGTGACAACAAACATCCAATTGTATGTGACGAGTGTAGCAGGCATATTTGCAAAGACCATTGCAAAACGTCCAACATGTGTACAAATTGCTCCGAACAATAAAATACTGCGCAAAATGTAGTTGTCAGAATTTTTGTTTATTATGTTTTTTCATGTTTTTAAGTATTTTTCCCTAGGTTTAGGTTTGTTTTGATTAAAACAATTCCGTTTAAAATTATTTTTAATTTTTTCTCTATTTTTTTTTACAGATAAGAAAAGCCATGTTAATTTTTATAAGTTTAGCCAGAAGTAGGCCAGATATTATTAAAAAGTATATGTAAACATTATTATTTATAATAAAAAGGATTTATATTCGATCTGAATGAAAATTTTTCTGTTTTCTATTTGCTGCATGCAAAAAAAGGCACAGGGTCAAATCTGACCCCGCCATACTTTAAGTGTAATTTTAAATCACCATACCAGTTAAGGGTTAAATATTCTTATATTCTATTTGATTTTTGGATAATATAGATCTTCTATTCGTCTATTTGCTTGGTTTAATCTTATCTTGATATTCCAAATTTAGAAGTTTCAGTGTAAAAACCGTTACAGACTTCTTTACAAATAATTTACTCCAATCGTCTGAGACGAAAATTCCACTGAACCTCTAAAAATCGTATAAAAAAGCTGAGAATATCAATTTTGGAACCTCTAAAAGATGCGAAAAAGTTTAAAAAATATATAGCGAAGATAATTTTGAACACAAATGTTTATTACCGCTTTTTCTGTAGAATGAACCGTTCTTTCAGAAACAAACTCTTGAAGCTACCTCCGATTTTGAATGTGTTACGCGCGTGAATGATTTTTTAAAACTCAACGGTAACAATTCGATATCTCTTGATCAGAGTGTCCTATCGATAAAAATCAAAATGCGTTTAATAGGTGAAGAGTGCAGCTTCAGTATGCGTGTTTTTTTATTTTGGCGTAAATAAACTCAGTTTCTCAGTTTCATAAATAAAGGTTGCGCTCTTTGCCATCATTTACGATTCTCATGAAATCAATAAAATGTATCACAAGTTTTGACAAAACATGAGATACCTATTTGGTTTAGGTATACTTAAAGTATTCTCCTTCTTTAGGTACCGTCTCGTCTAAGGACGTTGGTAATCATCACAGCTATTTTCACTTTTGGGATTGCAGCTCTAAACAAGTCGATGGAACTGCAATTATACCACTTTCTCAGATTGTTGAGCCATAAGATGCATCTTCTTTCAATACTTCGTTTTCCCTGCATTATGGTTTGTAGCAATACATATTTATCCCCTCTCATAACGTGACGAGATATTGTAACTTTCTTATCTTAATTGTATTCATGATTTCCATTTCCTTTGTCATCTTTCTGAGGACCTCAACATTTGTTATTCGGTCCACCCAACTTATTTTTAATATTCTTCCATATGTCCACATCTCGAATGCTTCAAGTCGATCGCTCACCTCTTTCTTTAAGGTCCAGGCCTTCACCATATACAGCAGCACCGAAAACACATGAGTTGCAAACTAAGGTCTATACTGTATAATATTTGTCTCATCTTATTAAATGTTGCTCTAGCTTGTCCAATTCTCATTTTTATTTTTTCTGTATACTCGTTATTTTAATTAATAATTGTACCAAGATATCTGTATTTTTTAATTTTTCTATTGGAACTATATTGGAATTATATTTAAAATGTCTTGTTGTGTTTTGGAAATTGTCATAAATTTTGTTTTATTAGCATTAAGCGTTAGTCCGCTTTCCTCACTAGCATTGAATACATTATCTAAGAGTGTCTGTAGATCTTGTATATTATCTGCAATTAATATAGTATCATCGGCATATTTGATATTGTTGATGGGTCTGCTGTTGACTTTTATTCTGATTGTTACATTTTCGAGTGATTTTTACAATAATATACAAAGTATAATACAATAATACAATTTATTTAATAGATACGAAAGAGTCATAATGTGATTTTAACACAAATTTTAATCTTTCTAATTCTACTATTGAATTTACTTTACTGATGTAGTCAGAAAATTCTTTTAAAATGTGTTCTTTGGTTTCATCTAAATGCTCATTGGTTTTGATATTCTGAAGTTCTACAGCATCTATTTTGGTTTCTAAAATAAAAAAAATACTTAATTAGGCAGATAAAGACAAAATAAAAAGACTAAAAGTGCTCTTCAAATAATCAAATCGAAGAAAATGTGATCCAGTTAGATTATCAAAGAAATATTATACTTGCTTCACCTGGCTGACCCAGACACAAATTTGCTAATTCAAAACATTAAGAAATAATTTCATACCATGGCCTATAAGCCAGAAAAAGAGATTATCAGTATAATGTATATGCTAACTAAGCAATCAGTTTGAATTAAAACTGAAGGTAGATAGGAAAATACAAGCCATGAAAAGAGAGAAAAATTGTATTTTTAATGAAATTGCAATAAATTTTCATTAACACTGACAACTGCAGCAAGTTCAGTGCATTTAGATAGTGGTACTCAATATTATTTGTTGTAGATACTAGTTTACAGTTAATCTGTGATTAAAAGATGTATTCAGTTATTTAATGAAACCAGTAACTATATTATATGGGATGCCAGGATTAGACTGTAAAAGGCAAAATCTGCAAGTGATTATCAATTTCTGGTTTCTTCACATCTGAGATATAGTCTTAATGAAGCAAGAAATATAAGCAAAACCCAACATTTGTCAACAATTTACTTGAGAATAGAAAGAGAATTTGTACAATGTAATATACTCTTATATGAAAGAGAAAGACCCATGGGGCCCTGTTATGTTTTGGTCTGGTATAAATTCCAATGTCTATACTGATTTAATTATTGTGAATGGAGGTTTTATAATAAGAGAAAGATATATGACAACCATTCTACACAAACGTGTGAAACATTTTGGGCCAATTATAGGATACAGTAAAAAATAGAGTAGGATAGAAATGTGATCAAAATTTATTGATTATCTAAAACAATAAATTGCTCTTGATAGCAAGTCATTAGATAAGAATTTCAAAGTAATAATACATTATAATTAATTATTACCTTCCAGATCAAGACAACTTTGTTTTTCTCCTTTCATTTTATTTATATTCTCTTTATTTTTTACAACTACTGCAGAAGAGCGATTAAAGCATGCTTCAATATTTCTTAGATCTTTTTTGGTTATGAGATGTAATCGTTTAGTACTATCTGGGTATGCTGATTCCTTAATTTCCTGTATAATTTCATCAAAGTCCATCCCAGAAGCAATTTTAATTGCCAGATCTTTTCTTTCTAAATGCGTAAGTTGAAGATGCTCCAAATCTAAGTCATGCCCTAGGTGTGTTTCAATAAACACAACTTTGCAGTCTCCGTTAGAGTTTTGAATTAGTTTCATACCTGCTGGGCAATAAGCATTTATTTTTCTGGATCCTTGTCCTTTTAAGCGCCTGACTCTATCGTCATTAGGTGTATAGTTCCCAGAACGGTGACAACAATAGTAACTAATATTAGACTCATTACATTTTGCTTTTCTGATATATCTACTATGACTCTCAACTTCTATATCAGTTTTCCATTTTTCAAATTGTTCAATATTGGAAAATGTGTATTCTTTAGAATCTACAAAAATACTATGTGCTTTCTGAAAATGTTCTAACATTAAACTTTTCTTGCAATCCGCAAAATCACACAAGGGACACTTTTTCTGCAAAAAGTTATTTTGTTTTTGGTCTAAATGAATTTTTCTGTGAGACTTTAAGTGACGAATATGGTTAAAATTTTTTCCACATTCACATGTAAAATTAAAATGTTTACTGTTTTTATAATATGATTCTACTAAAACTGTATCTGGATGAAATTTCTTGGCATGTTTCCTCAAATTTGATGAAGTACTGAAAGTTTTTTGACAAACGAAACATTCTACTACTTTGCTGATGTTCATATTTCAAAGTAATGTAACTTTCTATTTAAACCGCAATGCCCTTTTGTTTAGCCTTTCCTTTTAAGCTACTTATTTTTTGTTGTGAGACTACAGTAGAGCATCAGTAGAGTCTGACGAGTATTATCACAATTTCTGTCATAACAAATCAGCTGTTTAATATCAAGTAAATGACGTCATCATTAAATTAAAATATACTCTAAAAAACGACCCGGTGTTAAATTTCCCATATATGGTAAACTGGTAATGTATAATAATACAAACCTACGTACACATCCACTAATCTCCATAAATATTATTAATAATATTATTCTTTAAACAAGATTATCCTGCCAGAATTAAACTCTTAATAAACTCTACATCTTAACATTTTCTTTATTGATTACAGCAATATTTAACAGTTTATGCGATATATTGATTATAAATCTAAATCAAGGAACGTATTTCTTTGAGATCCCAAAAAATTATAAACAATATAAATATAAATTAGAAAGAATTAAATCGCTAGTTACACCTAAAACAATTGTATTACGATGTATCAATCACCCTAAATTATGATAAAAATGATGATTGTGTGAAAATGAGAATTGTAATTTACTATTCTCCTTTGGTTTTTTAGTTACAGGTATTCCCCCATTATCTTTATAAGGTAGCTGAAGGAAAAGTTTGTACACGGGATTCATTTCTTGCAGAATTTGGATATAAATAAAAATGGAATAGTGCGTGTAAACTCCAAAATTAATTACCGATTAACAATTCGGCTACTTAACCAATTTGGTTAAGTAACCAATTAACCAAAAAAAAAAGGATTATCTGCCGACTTGATATAGTGCAGTAAAATATATTGTTTTACAAGTAACAGAAAGTACTCTTCCCTTCTACCTTCTACTTTACATTCTTGTGCTGACCAAAAAAAAAATTGAGTGGTTCTGGGTAATTAGCATTTGTAAATAACGTTTACTATTGTTTTTATTTCATTGTTATTGTCTTACTTTCACACTTTGATCTCTGGTAAAATATCGTCTTTTCTCTCTTGCTCAACTAAGCTTTTCCTATTTTAAAATACAAATTCCTATATATTTTTTCATATAAGCAGTCTTGTTAATACTGATATTAAGTTTAAAACCTTACTGAATATGATTCTATGTTTTACACATTCTAGTAATCAACTGTTTCGACTACGTGACTCATTGTTATAGTCCATTCTATCTGGAATTAATAATATACCAAGACATCAGTTTCCTTATTCTACTACTGAATTTTTAAAATAATTTCGATTTTTTCTGGCGGAGAATTGTAAATTACTATTCTCCTAGTCCTATTTTGTCATCTTATAGAATACTTTAATCTGCTTTGCTGTTTAAATGTTTGGTTCTGTAGGTATTCTCCCATTATCTTTATTATGTAGCTGAAGGAGCAGTTTGTACACGGGAGTCATTTCTTGCAGAATTTGGGTATAAACAAAAATGGAATAGTGGGTGTAAACTCCAAAATTAATCGCATTTCGAACCCACGCAATCGGTCTAGTATACACTTTCAAATAAAGAAAATGGAATTCGACCTTGACGATTTCTTTTTTTATTCCTTCTCTGTCTTCTTAACATATATCTGTATACATTCTACTCCGTCTTGTTGGAAATGTCAGATGGAAGGACCTTGAAATTATGAAATTGTCAAATCCATTATGGTGTCTTGACAGTGACGTTTGTATTTACATAATTTTCTGTAAGTTTCTCATTTTAAGTGGAAAATAGTGATATAGAGGAACTTTTAAAAACAAAATTAGGTTCCTTTTTATTGCATTTTTATATTATTGATAACGTTTGTACGGTCGCAGTGTTGGTTCTAAATTAAATTTGCCAGGGATTGAAGATGGATGTGGTTGTTTAATTTTTTGTTTAAATTAATATAAACATTTAAATTTTCAACTAGCCAACCCTTATGTTCGCGAAAGTGTTTAGGAACGCTTGGTGTTAACAAAACAAGGATTGTGAGTATTCAAAATCCAAAATAAAAAACCTAAAGAGCTTTGTAGTTGTTACCATATCATTATTATAGAAAGTATACTTTTCTTTTCAGATCCGTTTTTACGACCTAAATTCCATTGGTTACAGATAATAAAAAAATATGAAATATTTGATACTATCTCCAAAGCATTTAACTTTGAGAAGAAATTCCTCAATGCATGAATAATTTTTTTTAACTCTTGATATACCATATTGCAAGTAATTAAGTTCTTTCACATTCATTCAGATGTAAGTTTACATTCTTTTCTAATTGTTTAACAGTTGCCAATAGTTAATTGCAATGACATAAAATCTTGATTGTTATTAAAACATTATTATGGTTTATTTAATTTTTAAAAACTTAAACATTATTTTATAAACATTTTTAAGAGATTAAATAATTAAAATAAAAATATATTCTTTATGAAATGGCCTTCAATGTTTTACTTTCCAAATATTTTTAATATTGCATATTTGGGAAAAGATATAATTATAAATGTTTATTATTTTTAATTTAATGTTATTAGTTATCCCTTTCTAGAGTCTTTCTATATTGAAATTTAAAGAAATGGTGGCCATAGACTATATTTCTTATCCAATTTTCTTTTGGATATATAAAGCATACCTAGTTCTTTTTATAGAAATAAACATTTTAAACAATAATTTAATTGTTGTCCAACTTGTTGCAATGATTTAGTTAAAAGTTTTTACTTCATAATAATGGTACTTCAAGAGCTAAAATAAATCAGTATCCCAAAATTCGTACTATTTTTGATATCTCTACCTAATCAGCAAAAGATTGAGTTTTTTCCATTTTTCTCTCCCCTAAACAATTTTACTACAATTGTGTGTACACTTCCATAATGTCCATTATATATTTGTTCTGTCTATTATTTTATTTCAGTATATGTAGAATAAACTATTTTACTACTTTTATTGATACATGTATTTCTTTTATTTTGTTTTGTTATGAATGTTTGACTTTTGAATACTTTTTCTATGTTATCTTCTGTGTCCATGTCTGTGTGTGCATCATGTATTAAATACCTAAAATGTAACTAAAGAATGTCATCTTTTTAAGGGGACAGTCTCATGCTATTAAAAAAAGAGACACATTTTTAAATTAAAGCAGAAAAAAACTATAATATTTACTAACATAATTTCTTTTGGAGATGATTAAGTAAGTCTTAAAAGTAAGTACATAAAAAAAATTTTTAATAGCGATTTTAACTTCATTGGTGTCCTGTAGATGGCGTGTAGTAAAAAGTGCGTTTTTGGTGGTAAGACACTTTGTGGGTCACCTGTAACAGATATTCAAAAAAATTCAAAATGGGTTTTTGAGTTTTTTGAATGTAAATGGAAGCGATTTATAAAAAAAAATAAAATTGATTTTTTGAAAGTTTGGCATGAGACTGTCCCCTTAAGACAGTAAACATATTTTCTTTACTTGAATGTATAAGATTATTATAATCATCATCATCTTTGGCTCTACAACCCTGGGTGGGTCTTGGCCTGTTCAAGAATTAGTCTCCAATCTTCCCTATCTTTCGCCCTGTCTTTCCAATTTCTGACCCCTAGATTCCTCAAGTCATCTTCGACTTGAGTTTTGAATCTAGATCTTGTTTTGTCTCTCTTCCTGGTTCCTTGAATGTATAAGATAGCTTGTCAATTGCTTCCCAAGCCAGAATTTTTCTTTTCTTAATTTTTTTAATCTTATTTTCTTGATTGTAATGCTACAAGTTTATATATTCTACATCTACAAACAACATAAAATAGAATGTCCAGCTTGCTTACATGCAATGCTTAAATTTTAATAATAAAAAAAGATCTGTCAGTCAACAAGCTTTGTTTAACTTTTGACTTGGCAATAGGTAAAAGAAAAAGAAATAAGTATACTTACATAATGGAATAAGGTGAAAGTTTTCTATTTTCTCGATTCTACCAGGGCACTGCACAAAAATGCAAGAGTAGTATCTTACAAAAATCTTAAAAAAAAGAGTTTAACTTAAGATAATCACCTCAAATTTACAAAACATATTAACACTTGTGTGAGTAAAGCATTTCTCAGTCTAAGAACAATTTATCATAATCGCCACTGTCTGCCATACAAAGTAAAAAGAATACTGTGTGAAAGTTTATTATTATCAAAATTTAACTATGGAGATGTTGTGTATGGGCCTTGTATTAGTTCAGTTGACAGAAGAAAAATTCAGCTGGTTCAAAATTCATGTCTTCGTCTGATCTGTGGTGTAAGAAGACACTAGCCTATTTGTCACAAATTAAAACATGTAAAATGGTTGAGCATGGGAAAGAGAAGATTTCTACATGCTGCTTGTCTTTTCCACAAAATTATCAAAAATTCTCTACCAGCATATCTCTTTAAAAAAAAATTATATACAGAACTGACATACATAATGTCAATACAAGATACAAAAATACAATTACAGCTCCACTACATCGTACAGAACAATTAAAAAATTCATTTACATATCAAATATTAAAAGTATATAATGGATTAGCTAAAGAATTAAAATTAAAATCGATTATATCTTTTAAGAAATCTCTTAAATCTAAATTGCTAAGTTAGTAACACATGTGCAACTATTTGATGACCTGTTATGAAGTATGTATAAACTGTGTGATAGTTCTTGGACAATATTTAAATACTAAATGTTTCTATTAGTTATGGTTTTTAATTGATTGTTACAGAACATGTAAAAAAATATTATATTTTTTTTCCCTTGCTTAAGATGAAAAGCAGAGGTACTGATTTCAGAGTAGAAAATACTGGTTGAATATTTGGTGTATCTATGTTTGAAAGCTTTAAAAAAGAGGAGCATTTCTTATTTTTTAGTGATTAAGTAACCTTTTATCGACCTGAAGATGGGCTGAAATTGTAGAGCAAAAAACCTACGACGTCTGACTATCAAATAATGAGACTGCTTATGAAAAATAGTTTTATTTTAAAAATTATTCTACAATTGAATGCTCTCCTTCAATATATTCCCCTTCCCTCGCCACACACTGTTCCATTTGTTTTTTCAATTGGTCAAAGCAATGCTGGAGTCTTCTTTTGTTAGAGCTTTTAGGAGCTTCACTGTTTTTCCCTTCACCTCTTCCATCGACTCAAA